GCTGTCATATCAAAGGAAACATGAATTTTAGTTAAAAGACTATGTTTTGGAAACAATTTATTTTATTTATTTATTGGTTCGATTTATATGCCGCCCTTTCTCCGGAGACTCAGGGCAGGTTACAATGCGTTAAGCAATAGCCTTCATACTTTTGTATATACCTCCTTTAAATTGCCTTTAAAGGAGAATATTTGTAGCCCAGGGTTGAAATGAGGGGGTCCTTGGTACACTCAGAGGTTGGTTGTTTTCTTGCAGACATTTCATTACCCAAACTAGGCAACATCATCATCATCATCATCAGTACATTGATAATGTTACCAAAATGGGTAATGAAATGTCTGCAAGAAGACAACCAACCTCAGAGAGCACCAAGGACCCCCTCATAGTTGTCTTTCATCATATGTAATATATAATATCCACATATAGTACCAAATCTGAGAGATCTAATTGCATATTTAATATACATTGCTTTGGGTATGGAATACATTTGATATCTTCCTAGTTATTCTCATGCTAATCTAATAGTCTCATGTTAGATATTTCATTACCATTTTGTATAAGATGATGATGATTGGTGGTGATGTGACTGGTGATTTTATTGTACTTCAGGATTTTTCCCTTCTTTGTTAACCTTTTATTAAAATCTCCTGAAAGTATTAACAAGTTAAAATTTACAGATTGAAAACTATTGAAATCTATGTTATGAAGGAAACATTCTACCCAATATACCGTAGTTTTATTTACAAGTAGTGTTCACTTAACAATTGTAATTGAACCTGGAATTATAGTCATAAGTCGTTATGGTCATAAGATACATCATTTGACTGGAACCAATTTGGATTTTTTTGCAGTGGTTGTTAATGTAACAGTCATTACGTGAATCCATTTTGTCCAATGTGGGTAGGAAAAAACCTTGAAACCTGCAATCACATGACTGTGGGATGCTACAAATGGCTGTAAAACTGAGCAGTTGGCAAGCACCCAAAATTCAGTCATGTGACCACAGGGTGGTGATGCATCCATTGCAACTTCTAAATCAAGTTGCTAAATTATATAACAGGTAAATTAGCTTTGGGGGGAGATTTGTCATAACTTTGAACCATAGCTAAGCAACCATTTGAAAGTTGAGGATTACCTGTAATGCAAATGCAAGAGGTATATGCAGAGGGAAATTGGAAAGAAGAAATTACCAATCTCTCAACTTCCCAAAGAAACATATCCAGATACAAATGCATAAAGGATAGGATTTGCATCATGACATCAATCACAATGCCCTATTTTGATGTAATCTGATTTTGCTGCAGACATCTATGAAAAGACCTCAGCTTTATCCTTGGCACTCCTGAAAAAGCTGACTGGGTGTGACACCAGAGCATTGTCAAGTTTTTGCCTTCTCTAGACTGTCATAATTGCAGTTACAGTGAGATGCAAAGGGATGAAAACACAGCTGCCAAAAAAGAATGGCTGTATTTCTACATGCGAATCCATAAACCATGGTTAACAAATCATAGTAGCTACAGTGGGGCAAAAAAGTATTTAGTCAGCCACCAATTGTGCAAGTTCTCCCACTTAAAAAGATGAGAGAGGCCTGTAATTGTCATCATAGGTAGACCTCAACTATGAGAGACAAAATGAGAAAACAAATCCAGACAATCACATTGTCTGATTTGGAAAGAATTTATTTGCAAATTATGGTGGAAAATAAGTATTTGGTCAATATCAAAAGTTCATCTCAATACTTTCTTATATATCCTTTGTTGGCAATGACAGAGGTCAAACGTTTTCTGTAAGTCTTCACAAGGTTGGCACACACTGTTGCTGGTATGTTGGCCCATTCCTCCATGCAGGTCTCCTCTAGAGCAGTGATGTTTTGGGGCTGTTGCTGGGCAACATGGACTTTCAACTCCCTCCAAAGGTTTTCTATGGGGTTGAGATCTGGAGACTGGCTAGGCCACTCCAGGACCTTGAAATGCTTCTTACGAAGCCACTCCTTCGCTGCCTGGGCGGTGTGTTTGGGATCATTGTCATGCTGAAAGATCCAGCCACGTTTCATCTTCAATGCCCTTGCTGATGGAAGGAGGTTTGCACTCAAAATCTCACGATACATGGCCAAATACTTATTTTCTCAAAAATAATAAGACCTCCCTGAAAATAAGGCCAAGTGCTTATTTTGGGGGTCAAAAGAAAATAAGACCCTGAAACATGGTACTCATTAATTTTCATTAATTACTCATTAAGCTGTAAGTGTCGATTTATCAAGCCCGATCACATAGTTTCGTAGCGGAGCCCAGGTATTCAGCTAGTTCTATTTAACTAGAGTCCATTTAAGCTCACACCTACTGCTTCAGTGACTCCATCCAGCCACCTCGTTCTCTGTCGTCCCATTCTTCTTTTGCCCTCTGATCTTTCCCAGCATTAGGCTCTTCTCCATTCCTTCCTTCTCATTAGGTGGCCAAAGTATTTGAGTTTCACCTTCAGGATGTGCGTTGAGGGTAAAACTGCCCTCTGCAAAGTGGTGCAATGGACCAGACAGTGAATAGATACGTTACTTAGCAAAACTCACAGACTCTGAACATTTAAAGAAAAATAAACAGTCTTTACTTGTAGTAAAAAAAACAAACTTGGCTCCTCAAAACAAAGATAACACTTCTTCAAATAATCACGGTTCAACACAAAAACATAGTTTGCTTACAATTCCAGTTTTCTTCAGTAACATAGGCACAGTTCCTTTCAGCAGTTCAACCTTCTAATAGCAGGAGCAGAAGTGAATGAACTTCCTGCCTTCTTTTATGTCTGCTTAGCACAGCCAATTTGTCATCTTGTAGCAGTTAAAGTAACAGAACATAGTTTTCTATATATTGCCTAACCAACCGTAGGATAAGCATCCAGCAATGTGGCCTAAAGAGCAGTTGGGGTTGATCTCCTCTAGGACTGACCGGTTTGATCACTTTGCAGTCCAAGTGACTTGCAGGAGTCTTCAGCACCATAATTCAAAGGCCTCAATTCTTCGGCGCTCAGCCTTTCTTATGGTCCAACTTTCACAGCCATACATTGCAACTGGGAAAACCATAGCCTTGACTATACGCACTTTTGTTGGCAGGGTGATGTCTCTGCTTTTTAGTACGCTACCTAGATTTGCCATAGCTTTCCTCCCCAGGAGCAAGCGTCTTTTAATTTCTTGGCTGCAGTCCCCACCTGCAGTGATCTTGGAGGCCAGGAAAATAAAATCTGTCACTACCTCCATTTCTGAATCTGAATCTGAAATGTTATTTGTTTAATTTTCTTTAGTACAGGTAGTCCTCGACAGTTCACTTAGTGACCATTCAAAGTTACTGAAAAAAGTGACTTATGACCATTTTTCATACTTATGACCATCACAACATCCTCAAGGTCATGTGATCAAAATTCAGATTCTTGGCAATTGACTCATATTTATGACGGTTGCAATGGCCCAGGGTCATGCGAGCCCCTTTTGCAACCTTCTGATTAGCAAAGTTAATGGGAAAGCCAGATTCACTTAACAACCATTTTACTAACTTAACAACTGCAGTGATTCACTTAACAATTGTGACAAGAAATGTTGTAAAATTAGGCAAAATTCACTTAACAACTGTCTCACTTAGCAACAGAAATTTTGGGCTCCATTGTGGTAGTAAATCGAGGACTACTGTATATTGAATAGATCTAATTCTTGTGTTCTAGAAACCTAGAAAACTAAGGGGCAGTTTTTCTGGGCCAAGTGCTGCAGACGCACTATATTGCAATAGTCACATTCCGGAATATATTGCAAGAGGCTGAAGAAACAGTATACCAAATATAATTTCATTTACAACTAATTAATTATTAAATATAATTAATGTGATTCCTTTGTGGTCATCTCTTAATAATTTCCCTTGATTGTTAGTTCTATCCCCAGTTCAACTTTGCCAGAATCAAATTTATTTTGAGAAGCAGCCTACAAGACATACCTCAAAGATATTGCAGGTTTGATTCCGGACCACTACAGTGAAGCATATACAAGTAGCTTTCTGCTTATGACCACAATTGAGGCCAACATTTCTGTTGTTAAGTGAGACAGTTGTTAAGTGAATTTTGTCCCATTTTATGACCTTTCTTGTTAGAGTTGTTACATGAATCATTGGTTAAGTTAGTGACATGGTTATTAAGTAAATCCGGCTTCCCCGTTGACTTTGCTTGTCAGAAGATTGCAAAAGGTGATCACATGACCCTGGGACACTGCAACGGTCATAAATATGAGTCAGCTGCCAAGCGTCTGAATGTTGATCATGTGACCATGGAGATGCTGCAGTGGCCATAAGCATAAAAATGGTGATACATCACTTTTTTCAGTGCCGCTGTAACTTTGAACAGTCACCAAATGAATGTTGTAAGTTAAGAACTATCTGTAGGGCAAAAAAGTGAGACATACAAATCATTTGTTTTTGCAATGAATATAAAAGTTAGGTTTACACTCTACTGTAGTCTATTAAGTTTGCAATGGCTTTATGTCTAAAAAATGTAGACACCTCAATTAAAAGCATTTTATCGCTAAAAAGGTAATCATAATCTGAGCCGGAATAGAATTAGAATTAGAATTAGAATTAGAATTAGAATTAGAATAGAATAGAATAGAATAGAATAGAATAGAATAGAATAGAATAGAATTCTTGCTACTCTTTTTGCTGATGGAAGGTCTTGTGATGTAATGTTATATCTGCAAAGTGCAATAAAGCAAAGTTCAAAAAACAAAGTATGCCCGTAAACTTGTCTATATTGCTTCTAATCCCATTAACCTTTTTTTTTCTTTCAATTACACTACCTGGAAGAAAGTGAGGTAGCATAAATACTCCAGAGGAATATATATATATATATATATATATATATGCCTCTGTGCAGGTTGTAGAACTACCACTCCCAGCATTCCTTACCATGTGTCTAGCTTGCTGCAACACTTGGTATTTGTAGTCTATATAACATCAGGGCTATCATAACCTTTTTAGTTTTCAGAAGCACAGAAGGGGAGCGAGGCTTAGAGAAGAAAGAAATCTATCAACCACAAGAGGGCCCTGCTTTGAGGCCGACCGCAAGAAAGGAAGGACTTCTCTCTTTTTTCTCTTTCCTTCTTTTCTCCAGCCAGGATGTGGAACTGAGCTTCCTGGATCTTGCAGCTGGTTTGCCTAAGCCCCCTCTCTTTTATCCTAGCTCCCTGCAAGGGAGAGAGGGGAGCTTTCAAACCATCCAACACCATTCCCGTGCAGGCGCCAGACACTATAGTATGTGCCTAACTGCAGGTAAACCTTGTGAAACAATGTAAGGGGTGAGAGAGAAGCATACAAAAAATCCGGGCTCTTTAGCCCCTACCCAGACTGCCTCCCCTTCCCAGCATAAGATCCGATGCACATGGAGGAAACAATGGAGGCTGTGTGGGATATAGATGGACTTTGGTTTGGAATTGATGTCCCATTTTCTTGCCCGGACTTTCAGACCTGCATGCAAATCTTGGGCTGGGGATGCCCAGAGGAAGGGACAATACTGTAGTACCACGTGAGGATGGGTTACTTTGACGGAGGAAGGGGATTTATATATATATATATATATATCTCCACTCCCACATGACAACTTCCATATAATTTAGATCTCCTTCTTGTGCCAAAACATTGTGATCCACCCAAGATCATCTTAAGTAAAGATGGACAGCTATGCAAATCTTTTAAATCAACAACTTAAAAATTCTTGGTGCCACCTGTGATATGCCTATTCATTAGTATACATGTATTATCCCATGCTGTGGAATAGTTTGTTTCCATGGGATGTGTAATAGACCCTGAAGCTTTGCTTTTGGGAGGTGTTTAGTATAGATCCTTAAAGTAAACTCTGTATATTTGAAAAAGCAAATTTTAATCTGTGAGAGCTTTATGCCAGATAATTGCCTTGACTACAACAGACTAATTCTGTTGTGCCACTGGAATTTGCACAGCTTGCAATCTCTTTATTTTTTCATAAATGCCTACAGCATTATTTTTCTCTGGCAGAAAATTAAAATTTAGCCATTTAGATGTAATAAATGATAGAAATAGTATTAGACATAAGAACATATTTTTAGTACAGAGGATTTAAGGACTGTCCCAGATCTGGGATAGCCATACCTATGTTATATCATAATTTATAAATATGTCTGCTGCAATTACAATTTGCATTAAAATGTATTTTTGAAAGCATTTATTCTAAAAGTATACATATTATGCTGCTATATTCATGTTTAGGGCTGTCAACTTATTTTCTATAGTTTATATTCAACCGTATCATATTGCTCCTTTTTTTCTTTTCTAAGAACAGGGTCCATAGTTCTCAGAGGACAGGAAAAAACCTTCCCCAAATTACTGTCCCCAAAATGTATTCAGATCACAATTCCAATTAATCCACTGACTAAGAACTTGGGTTTGTATATTCCAGTATAGATGAAGTTCACCAGAATCAAGATGGCTGTTTTAAGCCTAATATGATTGGGAGGAAATCCTTATTTGTGCAACATGTGAAACCAGCATCAGTAGAGTATGTAATATGTGGGCCTGCATATCTGGAGCATGGGTGTGCATCTGATTTCTGTACTCTCTCACACATGCATATAATTCATTCTTTCAATTTAAAAGGGGAATAGAACTACCTTCTGGGAGAATATAATTTTCAATTTTATGCAAAACCCTCAAGCAGTATTTTCTCTTAGTGTCGTGCTTTTTGCTTTCTATGCTTCCCATGTAAGTCTGCCTGCCTGTCTGTGTCTATCCGTCCATTCGTCCATCTTCTGTTTATATGCTGCCCATCTCATTCTGAAAAGCAATTCTTGATGTAGGCTTCTAGATTGACGTAGTAATCTAAAATTACTATTGTACATCTGATTGCCAAGATCACTGAAGTGACACTCAAATGATTTCTGTGACAAACAGATTCTTCGATTACTTTTAATTTGATTTAAGTGCTCTCTGCAGCCTCTTGTGAGAGACAGAGGGAAAAGTCTTCAAGAACTTTAAAAAGGAAATTCTTCTGTGGAGCAACATGCAGGAGAGCTATGAAACAGTAATCTCGTTGGGTAAGGGATCATATTTCTTCAAATTTCAATGCTAGACTAGAACTTGACCCTCAGCTGCATGTTCTTATAACAAACTGGGAAAGTATTAATATCATTTCAGTTAATATCATTTCAGTTATAAGTAAAATTGAAGCCAAATAAGACCTATCCATGGAAGGTTTCAGAGAATAAGTAGTTAAATCTTGAAAATAAGCATTGATTTGTCTGTGGATCTACCTAGCAATCTGACTAATGGATGCTATGTCTTGTAAGAGCAATTTAACAAATTTTGAAGACAGGCAAGTAAAAAATTGTGTGATGGTACCAAATTGTGGCATGTGACTGAGACTTGCACCCCTCCTGGTTATCCATTGGTTGGCAACTAACAGGAATTGTAGCCCCAGTGCTTATAGAAGGCACCAGACTGTTTACCTCTGTCTTTGAAGATATTCCCCAGATTTCCCAACAGCTGCTTGTTACATGGGGGAGGACAATTAATGAAGGGCAAAAAAGATAATAGGTACAAAGCACAGAGTTGCATTTCCAGCACTAACTTTCAGAGAATCTAAAAGCTTATCAATTAAACGCTAATTGTTCTTACTGAGAAAATCTACATAAGCTACCAGCGCACTTCAGATGTTCTCAGAATACAATATTAAGCCTGCTCAGTAAATGTGTTTTCTTTTTCTTTTTTTTTTAGCAGAAGAACTTGCCATAAGCTGGCCCCGGATAACTGCATTTACAGAGACTCGAGGACGCCAAGGTTTGGCCCCTGGTAAGACCTTTAAGAAAAGCCACGGGTGGTTTTTGCTGGGTGGATCCTAAAGAGTTCTCCATCTCCAAATTGTGAGGATTGTGACCACATAAAACACTCAAAAGCCTTGCATGGAATCCTTCCAGAAGTTATTGCAACATTATATATGTTAATGTGGTAGGGAGAGAAATCATTAAATAAGCTAGAGTAATCATTAAGAGCCATGGTGGCGTAGTGGTTAGAATGTAGCATTGCAGGCTAACTCTGCCTGCAGCCAGAAGTCCGATCCTGACCAACTCAAAGTTGATTTAGTTTTCCATCCTTCCAAAATCAGTAAAATGAGGAGCCAGATTGTTGGGAGCAATATGCTGACATTTGTAAACCACTCAGAAAATGCTATAAAGCACTATATATGTCTAAGTCCTATTGCTATTAATATAAATAGGTTCATGACTGAAATAAATATTTGCCTTCATTTTATATTACATGCAAAATTCCTTTTCAAAATGCTCCAGGGTGTTGATATATGGATTCCATCAATGAAAGGCTAAGGTTAACGTTAATAATAGACTGAAGGTCACTGATATTCTCCATTTGTTAAGGATTGTGATCTGGATCATCCTGTATCATTGGCTACACTAGTAAGACTGATGGGAGCTGCAGTCCAGCAATTTGAAGTACTGTAATCAAATTGAGAACAAAAAGAAGAACTTTGCTCAACAACAGGTTATCCAGACTAAGAAGATAGCATATTTTGAGCTTTAGAACAATCAGTGACAAAGATTTAGGTAAATGGAATTTCATGATTCCAGGAACCAAGATGATTCTGATCTGTGATACTACTTTTCCAGCAGTTTACAGATTTTGCTTTTTTGAAGCAACATCCTTGATGGTGCAGCTAATGTCAATCAGGTAACTGATCTGAATCTTGCTCTACCTAATACAGATATATTCTACAACACCAACTTTTTATCCTTATTTTCTGGAAGCTGGAAAAAATACAGATTAGATCAAAGTAACACACCCATCTCTTTTTCTCCCTCCCTCCTGATTGTTTGTTTTTATATTTTCTGTTGCACTCTGGTCTCCCCTTTTCTGCAGGATTTTTATAGAAATATTATATTGTTTTTCCTTTCCCTTCATAGGCTTAGAAATGGAACCTGAGCAAGGGCAGCTGGCTCCTTTACAGGGTGAGGCAGCAGCAACTACAGATGGATCAAACGGGGAAGGGATCTTTCCAGACTTCCGGAGGCAACTTGGGGTAATTCTGCAAACTATAGGGAAGGCTCAAGTGGAGAAGATGCTCAGGGAGTTGGTGAAGGAGCAGGAGCAGGAGCAGCAGAGAAGAGTCAGGCGGCGGAAAAGAGTGAACAGGAGTCCTCGGCATGGAGGTAGGTATTTTGCTGCAGCACGTGGGACACTGAGTGGCTTTAAAAAGAGGAAAAAAAAAATCCCCAGCAAATTGGATCTGATTTTCTCTCATTTAAATTGGCAATATTAGTGATATCACAGCCATCCTTCCTGCAGCCCTTTGAGGACATATTGTATTATATCTATCCAATGTATCCATCTAATTCTTGGATAAAAATATTGCCTATCCTATTTTAAATATTGAAAGTTTAAAAATAATTTTACATTCTTAAAATCACTGTTGTGTCAGGGTTCCAACTAACACCCCAAACTAATAAACTTTGTTTATGTCGTTTACATTTTTGTTTTCTCTGAGAAGATCTCCTCTAATTGAACCTCTACAGCAGCAAAAATGACCTTGATTAAGGGAGCATAGGGAGCCTACACCTGTACCCACACTCTTAGGATGTATAGTCAAGCTCATGTAGACTGGGGCAACGATAGTGTGTGGGGTTTTGGGTTTGTTTGTTTTTTTGCCATTTGGCCTCTGAACCAGGAGTGAAACGCTTCCGCTTGGACCAGATCGCCTGATCCGGTAGCTCTGGAGGTAGACGGTTCAGAGAACCGGTAGCAAAAAAACCTGCCCCCACCCATGCCCAGCTGAGTCGCACAATCATCAGAGGCTTTTTTATTATTATTTTTAAAAGCATTTTTTTGGCCAAAGAGGTTATAAAAAAAAGTAAAAAAAAAAGCCTCTGATGATCGCGCAGCTCAGCTGGGATCATCAGAGGCTTTTAAAAGCATTTTTTCTACAATCTCTTCGGCCGAAGAGGTTGTAGAAAAAATGTTTTTAAAAGTAAAAAAAAATCTCTGCCGATCAGGCAACTCAGCTGGGATCATCAGAGGCTTTTAAAAGCATTTTTTTACAACCTCTTCGGCCGAAGAGGTTGTAGAAAAAATGGTTTTAAAAGTTAAAAAAAAAAGAAGTTGGCCACGCCCACCCAGTCACATTACTCCCCCCCACCAAGCCACGCCCACAGAACTGATAGTAACAAATTTTACATTTCACCACTGCTTTGAACACAACCACACTGAAATTGAAATGAAACACTCAAGATGCAAGCAAAGTGAAAACTTTCAGCTTTAATTCAAGGAGTTTGACAAAATTGTGGCATTAACTACTGAGAATGGTTAAGTGAGTTGGACCTGATTTTACAGCCCTTTTCGCTGTGGTTTTTAAGTGAATTGCTGCAGTTATTAAGTGAATGAGATGGTCATTAAGTGAATCCATTTTTTCTCATTGACTTTGCTTCTTGAAAGCCAACTGGGAAGGTTGAACATGGTGACCACATGACTTCAGGATGTATTGGTTGCAGAGTCTTCCCAAAATGGCATCCTGACTCAGCAGGACATTTTTTTCCCTGCGTACAGACAGCTGGTTTTGCTGCCAAAGCTGGCTCTTTTGGCAGCACACTTTCCGGATTTGAACAGGAGCTGCTAGGAATGACTCAGGATGACTGTGGACCTACCTGAGAAGAGGACCCATAAGGTTGCAGTTCTCATTGGGGAGCATTCGGAGGATGAATCACCATCTTTCCTTCCAGCTATCTGATGTTTTAAGAACATCTATGGTTTTAACGTCATGTTTTGATATTTTTTTTCTTTCTGATTTTTATCTTCAAATGTTAATCAACTGGTTGAATGCTGATTTCATATAACTCCCTGCTGGATTTTAAAGGTTTCTATTGTTTCATTAACTACTGTAAATCACTTTTGTTTTTTTAGCATGGAAGACACAGTAAGCTTTGGGTAGTGCAAGAGATCTGATTTGATTTATTACTTACCCAAATTTTTATTACAAGATTTTGTATTGTATAACCTTTTAAAAAAAACACACACACTAGTCTTAATTTTTTAATTTTTGATAAAAAAATCTTTTTGGAGGGGGGGAATCTTAATGTTTTTTTAGGCTAATCTGCTAAGATGTTTTTCTTGTCTGAGAGGAGTTGTTTATGACCTGCTATGAAAATTCCAGCTATAAAAAGTTTTAACTATTGAAGTATTTTGGACTATATCAAAGGATAGTCAAAATGCAAGCAATATATCAAGCTAAAGCTTATTGGAAAAGCTGGGCAGAAAAAATATTTTTCAATTTACAAGCTTGATAAAGTTTGTAAAATTTGAATAAAAAGCTTGATAAAGTTTTAAACCAATTCGAAGATGGTAACCAAATGCAAATAACAACAGTATAAGATTTACAATCTGATGGATTGGAATGTAATTTGCTGCTGGCATGCCTGTCGGATGAGCTGGACCTGAAAAATGCAAGCTGGCAAAAGGACTTCAAGAAAGATTTGGATTTTAAAGACTCAAAGTTGATAGAATTGACTAGTTATGAACTCAATTTTTTCAAAAAGATTGAGGAAGATTGGGAAATGAATTTATCATACCCAACTGGAAAACAAATAATAAGAGATGTTAGGTAATTTACAGGAGACTTTTGTACAACAAATGCTGTGGAACTTATGATTTTGGGGAATAAAATCCAATTGTTAGGAAAGATCCCGATTAATAGCTTAAAGAAAAGCCTCATTAATAAGAGTCAGTCGAGGATATTTGATCCTGGATGGACCAGAGACAATGACTGTGGTGACTTACGGTAGATCAGAAGCAGTTGTGGACTTTCTGCATGTGAAATACAATAAATAGACTGTTAACAGACAGTTTTGACATTTAATTTAGTTGTTGGTTTTACCTGTTAACCGCGAAAGAGCCAGGATCAGATCGCTGTGCTCAATAAAGAGAAAAGATCGGCAGTTTGGAAATTCATTTATTTTGAGATAGCATCGAAACCTGACATATATTTTTAGTGCTATTGTAACTTTGAATAAGCACTAATATATATGGTTATAAGTCAGGAACTACCTATACTTATGACGTTGATGATTTTTTAGTGATTTTGTTTTTCATTGAGTTACTGCATATGTTGTATAAGTTATTGTATTCTGTTTTTGTAAACCACTTAGATTTTTTAATGATAAAAGCACTTTTTTATAAATAAGTGGATCAATAAATTCCTGTGGAATAGGCTGATCTGAGAAAAATGGCTAACCTAAAATCACTTAGTGAACTGTATGGTCAAGCAATGACAGAACCCCCAAGTCCATATCTAACACTTTAAATTTTGGCAGCTTAAAAAGATAAAGATAAAAGTTCCCCTCGCAGATATGTGCTAGTTGTTCCCAACTCTAGGGGACGGTGCTCATCTCCATTTCAAAGCCGAAGAGCAGTGCTGTCCGAAGACATCTCTGTGGTCATGTGGCTGCCAATCTTTCAATCGACAAACTCAATGTCTTAGCCACTGTGTCCCTAATACTGTTGTATTATTACAACAATAAAAAAGAAGAAATGAAAAGAGTATAAACAAAATAGAAGTACAACAATAGTACAATAAAATAATGAAAAAGAACACAACGAGAATACATCAATATGATAACAAAAGATGGATGGGTGGAGAGTAGATAACGGGGGAAAGGGAGGAGAAGGAATCTGCCATCAACCCAGCAGCCACCTCTAGCATAGAACTTCCCCATTTGGACCACAGGCCAACAAGCAAAGCCAAGTCTTTAGGCTCCTCTGGAAAGATAGGAGGCAGACCTTACCTTACCAAAGGACGTGTATATGTGTATTCTAAATATATTCATATAAATATTTTTTATATACTCCAAACATATACAATGCTATCTATAATTTGGACCTATTTCTCAAGTCTTATTTTATCTAATCATCTTGGCTTCCATGGTTTGAAGCTTCTTACCCCTACCGTCAGCTATCATTTCTTCCTATTAATAGGAAAACAGGAAAAAAAGTCCACTGCTGATATATGTACTGCATTCTTTCTATCCTTTCTTCAGAGATTTGTTCCTTTAGCCTGCCTTCTGTTCCCTGATTCCTCAATCCCTTTCTTTGAGTAATATAAAATGATGGATATATTTAGATTTACTGGATCCTTGCCAGATACAGACTGCCATATCTTAAAGCAGAATTTATTTATTTATTTATTTATTTATTTATTTATTTATTTATTTATTTATTTATTTAATATAACTTATATGCCGCCCTATCTCCATAGGACTCAGTGCGGCTCACAACAATTAAAACAAACCAATAAAAACATAAAATACATACATAAACAAATATTAAAACCCGTTAAAATAATCGAAAACCCCCTCAGTCCAGGCTAGGTGCCACGAACAGCCATGTTTTTAATTCGCGGCGGAAGGTGCGGAGGTCAGGAGCCAGCCAAAGTCCCAGGGGGAGTTGATTCCAAAGGGTAGGCGCGCCCACAGAGAAAGCTCTACCCCTGGGGGCCGCCAGCCAACATTGTCTAGCTGACGGTACCTGGAGCAGGTCCTCCCTGTGGGAACGCATTGGGCAATGGGAAGCTGTTGCTGGTTGCAGATGGTCCGCCAAGTATCCTGGGCCTAAGCCATGTAGAGCTTTATAGGTCATTACCAGCACCTTGAATCTCACCTGGAGGGCAACCGGCAACCAATGCTAGCCGCGCAGGAGAGGTGTTACATGGGAGTATCGGGATTATCCCATCACAACCCACGCGACTGCATTCTGTACCAGCTGAAGCCTCTGAGTGGTCCTCAAGGGAAGCCCCATGTAGAGAGCATTACAGTAGTCAATACGGGAGGTGACTAGCGCATGAGTAATTGTGTGTAGGACATCTTGGTCCAAATAGGGGCGCAACTGGTGCAGCAGATGAATCTGGGCATATGCCCCCCTTGTCACGGTTTACTTTTTACTTAAAGCAAAGTCCTAATAATGATAGTAATATAATAATAATAAAAATTGCAATTGTCTGTTTCTGTGGTATGGCGAAGAAGAATGATGGAAAAATCATATAAAGTATCATGAAAATATAACATATATTTAGCAATACTCTATAGATTCGATTGGGCTGGTGAGGAATTCAGACTTCTGAGCTAAAACTGTGATTAAGAAATCTAATTTTTAACTTAAAAATCTTCACCAGTGAACTGAATCTTTTATTCTTAATAAACTATCAGATAGGCCAATTGTAGACTCATTAATGTTTGACAATTTCTGGGCTCTGAACTGAACGTATTTACTGCTTGAGTTATTTTGATTGAAATCTGAGGGATTGAATCTGAATCTTTTGTAATTGAATACAGCAAAATAACTAGTGATATTCTCCTAAAGATGTAAAAGAGGGAACCTCATAGATGGGGAACTATGATGCTCCAAACATTGTTGAACCTCTGCTCCAGTCCATCACAGCCAGAATGACCATTGATTGGGTTAATGAGAACTAATTTTCTACCAGTATCTTGGAGGTCACATGTTTCCACCCATGTTTATTCTCTAGGATGCTGAACTATAACTACATTTCTGTTTCAACAGGTGATGAAACAGTGGAACAAAATAACTTGGAGACTTCAAGGGAACTTCAGACTGGAACAGTGGAAGAACCAGCTGTTCTATCCAGAAAACCATTTGGGAATGAAGTGCAAGGTTTCCTCAAATGTCCGGGACTGGCAGAACCAAAGCAACCCAAGATGATTCGTGGTGATATGAGAGGGTGTAAGAATACTCTTGCCCAGCAAAATCCTCTAGGAACAAGATGGGGAGCAGAACCTAGAGAGAGTGTAAACCGCAGTCCATTCTCAAACGTGAGCCATGGCTCCCAGGAAGCTGGGAGAATCTGCCCATCATTCATTGAAAGACCCCAGTTCTTAGGATGGCAGAAGCCCCATTACACACAAAGGTGTCAGCGTTTACCTGCAGGGGAGAAGCCCCATCACTGTGCATCATGCAGGAGAACTGTTGCGATCCCACCATTAAGACCTAACTCCCCTCATAATTCTGCATTGATTCCTTTCTTGAATTCTGCCTCTGAATTTTCTTCTACCTTGACTCTGAATTCTGTAGGGCCGCTGAATACCCAAGCTCTGCCAGGTAACCCAGCTTCTACCCAGTCTCAAAAACCCCATGCTTGTGAGGAATGTGGCAAACGATTCCGAATCCTAGCAAACTTGGAACGGCATCAGCAGCGTCACGCAGCAGAAAAACCACACCAGTGCAGAGACTGTGGGCGCCGGTTCCGCTGGGGTTGCCACTTAGAGCGCCATAGGCGATCACGCCGCTGTGTGGAATGTGGTGGAGGCCTCGCAACGCCTCCTCCACCCCCAACTCCACCTCCAGAACCTGACCGACCCTATTCCTGTGGGGAGTGTGGGAGGCGGTTTACTCAACGCTCAGCGCTCAGCAAACATAGGCGTCTGCACTCAGGGGAGCGTCCCTATGGGTGTGGAGAGTGTGGGAAACGCTTCCTGCAACGCTCTGACCTCACTATTCACATCCGCTCACATTCTGGTGAGCAACCCTATGCCTGCACAGAGTGTGGACGCCGCTTCAGTGTCAGTTCAAACCTCAGCAAGCACAGACGCATGCATCGGGGGGAGCGTCCTCATGCATGTTCTGTCTGCTCTAAACGCTTCCTCCAGCGCTCAGAACTTCTTATCCACCAGCGTGCTCATACTGGGGAACGCCCTTATCCATGCACAGCTTGTGGAAAGCGCTTTGCTCGCCGGGCTCATCTCAAACGCCACCAGCGAACCCATGGGGGAATGCCTGCCACAACTACTGCATCTCGGCACCAGAATGCTCATCTTTTCACTGCTCCCTCCCCAGATGCTATGTCCTTCGTGAATATCAACAGCATGAATCTTGGGTGACTGATGTCCTTGAATCACATGCTTAAGCCAATGCAGTTGCCACAGGATTGTGCCCACTTGTAGTTGGGCCTCCTTTCTCAAAAGCTCGGGATTCTGTGAATGCTCCTTCACTGGGTCTACTCTGGGCTGTGCCCTTTTTAGGATGTCTTCCCTTCTGCTCATAGCATTTTTGCCAGGGACAATCCGAGTTCTGATTAGCCCATGGAAATGGCATCGTATTAGCCCCTTATCCTTGTTTGTTTGGAGGCTTGGCAGGTTTTTTTGCTTGGGCATCCAAGCTTGCCCTTATATTATAGGGTACGGAGCCACTGAAATTATTCATGATCATCTGCTACATTCCCTGACTTGTTGATTTATCTTGCTACTACCACTAGTGTGTCAAGTTTGACAAGTCTGGAGAGGAAAGACACAATAACTTTACTATCCAAAGTTAACTGCAATTCATTGAGGCAAGTAATTATGTCTTGCAAACCACAGTCATAACAGGCATTTATTACAAATTCACAGATGTAGATCTTTTTTCTCTTGAAATGGTCCATTACATGATTCTCCTTGTCTTCCCTATTTTTGTAAATTTAACCAGTCCCCAACATTACCCTGGCCAAAAATCTCATTTTGAGCAGATTTGCCCTTGTTTCTTTTGATGGGAAAGAAATCCAAAGAAGCTTGTCTGAAGGGCTTTGAACTCATTACCTGTAGACAAAAATGACATACTTGTTGTTGAGTCTACAGTATATATTAGAATACACATATTGTAGCAGTCAGTGTATAACTGATTGAGTTGGATGCATTTTATGTCTGTGGTCTATGCTTCTACAGCTCCAAAGGACAATCATGCCCAAGCATTGGATGGTCCAGAACTGTCCAGAAACAATGTGGTGTTGTGATTTGCGCCTCACAGCTGTTTGTGGAATTTGGGAAAAGATGAGCCATGCCTTCAAAAGTGTTTTTAGTACTCTTTCACCATCAGCTCCTGAGAGAGCGAAGTAGGGACTGCCTCTTGTTGAGAATTCTGGACTGGAGCATTTTAGAATGGAAAGAGTCTGCTTGCTACATCTGGTGATTCAGCCAGCTTTGAAGAGAATGGTAAAGCTGATGCTGTGTAAGGACAACAATCTTTTGGTACACACTACTGTGACAGGCAATTCCCAGGTATATTATTATTTACCAGGCCTGTGTTAAAGTTCCAGCTTGTATATTCTTGATATATGTAGGGCTGGCATTTTGTTTTCCATCATAAAGTTGGCCATGGCCTCTAGATTGGAGAAGCAATTAATATCTAATTTAAGACTAATGCAGTAGAACTTTATCAATTTTTTTAACCATGTATTTTCTTTTAAACCACATAGTTGAATCCCGGAACGTACATATATATGAACAAAATAGAATATTTTGCAACACTCTTCCGCAGGAGCTGTTTTGCATCTTTCCTATTATAACAAGTGTTTTGGGTTGAGGTCACAGCCACAAAATGGTTTGGAGCCTCCTCCATTTTATAACTCTGAACATCAAGAAGCTCACGACGATATGAAACATGAAAACTTTGCATATGCAGTTTTTTATCATAGTGCGCAATATATCTTACCCAGTGCAGATCTAGTCTTTTTCAGGCCTGCATATTGTTTTAAAACATGCCCGGAGAAATACAATGTTGGAATATACTGACCAAGTTGCATGTTGCAAGAAACAGTCAACAGGTCAGACAGACTAGCTGGGATGGGTGCTAGAATTGGATTCCATTGTCTCAAAAGTGGGCTAATCTGATTTACAAATGAGGGCAAATATACGGTACATGTCCCAGGATAATGATGCAAGATCGAAGTTGGGTCGGTCACCAGGATCAGAGATTTACTCTTCCAAGCTTTCAGACTCGTGTTAGAACCCATCTTCAAATTTAGTCAGACTTAAGACTGACTCTAGATTCTTTAGACTTTAATCTGATTTAGCAGTAGCTATTTTGATAAACATTTTATAAAGACGAGTGATTGATTGCTATTTTATTCAGTTTATTCAAAATGACCAGGAAATGGTTGCTGATTAGCTAGCTGGGCATTACAGAGTCTTAGGGAGAGAATATCAGTTAGATATTGATAGAGAAATAGAAAGGAGAGAATTGTTAATAACTCTTTGGCTCTGTAATTTTTTAATCACTCCTAGTGGGTCACTCTGTCAGTGGATATTGCCTTCCATGGTTATTTTTTGAAACATATTAGAGCATGTTTGATAGATTGAATCAGGCATATTACCAAAACGGCTTTTATATTCAGCTGGACAGTACTTGAAGAGCTCTGATAAGTAATTTAAATGTTCCAGATTTACATACCTTTTGATCTCTACACTACCAGTGGTTAAGTAGACATTTGCTTGGATCCACCATCTGAGCCTTTTCCCTTTCTCTCTTTTTGCATTAGGCATATCACAAAAATTGTTGGCTTAATAATCTTTGGTTTAGTAAATTAAAATTTATACTAGTCAACTTTAATCTTAAGAACTAGATAATATGAAACAAGAATTGGTTCCTCTGCAAAATTTCTATATTGCTAAAACTCGTTCTCGTGACCTTTAACTGATCAAAACGGTGCATCATAGAGCAACATTTTTTGAGCCCAGATATCTCAAATGGGTTAATTTACAGAATGTGTCCAAAGTATGAGACCCATGACTTCTATGGGAATTACATTTGGGAAAATTGTGTTTGATTGAGTACTGCTGGGTTATTGCTATGGTCATGGAATGTTGAAAAAGGATATTTTGGCAATTTCTGATGCTCCCTGCCAGATTTCCACAAGGAAACTCAATGCAGAAGTCAGTAGGAAGTCAGAAGTTGTTTCTGTTCTCACTGCTTTTTTGCCTACCCTTGTTTAGGTAAAGAAATATCTCTGAAATGATGACCTAATGGGACATGGGTGGTAATGCAAAGTTTTTGGAATTCCCTGTTTGTAGTTCACTTCTGCTAGGATCTTCTCTAACCTCAAGCTATTAGCAAATGGCTCAATTACTCTCAGGGCCTGAACTTCATTGATGGGAGTATTCACACATGAATGCTCCAAATTACAAGAAAGAGACAGATCTTAATTTTTGAGCAGATTCTTGGATTTTTTATATATAAATTCCAACAAAATTGCTGATGATGCAGGAACTATTTTTATGGGAATTGTGACTCAAGATGCAGAAAATAAAACATTCAAGTGAAGACTTCTGAATGTTAACCCAAATTCTGCAGAAAGCTGTATTCCTGTATTTATAATGAAAATTATCCTATAAATTTCTAATCATAGGAAAAGGTAGTATTTTCTTTTGATTACACACACACACACACACACACACACACACACACACACACACATATATTCCTATAAAATTGCAAGCAAGGATAAAGGATAGTACTATTCTTTATTAAGAGATACCAAAAGGAATGCATTATTGTCCCACTCCATTTTGGGCTCAAATAGGCTGTCTATGGTGAAAATCAGGTAATATTATCTGGATCATGGAACAAGTAGGTTAGTCATCATCTTGAATGAGTGTCCACCAGGTTTCAGATCTTTGGCATCACCTGCAGCAGATTTAGATGAGGAAAAACATGGGAACAGCTCTACTTTCTCTTACTTACCACCTAAATCTTCATATAGAAGTCAAATAGCTGTCCTAAGGATATTCACTAAGGGAGTTTATATAACGGCAGTGTCCGGCAGTTCTATTTATTCCACAGAATCAGATACATGGTCCTGAATGTGAGATTTGTGCCTTTGCCTTGTATTGGACATTATCTTAATGAACTCATAAGTCGTTTTTAAAAAAGCCTTTTATGTGCACCATGTGAGACGGTATCCCAAGTTTAATCTTGATGTATTTGGTTTTGCTTATTGCTCACCAATTCCAATTGGGGATAATCTGCTAACATTCTTTCTGCAGCACTTGTGATAGATAAAACATCTTCCAAACCAGTAAGCAAATAGAGCAAAAGTCTTCAGGTGTATTAGAAAATGAAATAGGCCATAACATTTTTTTTTTAAATTTTTTGGATGGAACGTTGTGGTTGTAGGCCTTGGAGTTCCCCTTGTTTCAAAGCCACTTGGTTTGCCAAGACTTGCAGTTCCAATTTCACAAAGATTCCCTTCCAATGCAAACAGTTTCTACCATAAAATGTCTGCAAAATGCGGACAAAATCTCTTGGCCTTTCCTAAACCTTAATTTAGGAAAGGCAGTAAAAATTTTCTCCCTAAACTTTGGTTCTCAGAGAGCAGTTGATTGCTTGATGCTGTGGAAACTGACACGAGTTGGGGATGTAGGAATGGACATGGCCCTTGCTACTCGGGCACGGATGGAGTGTTTGTCCTGCCATCGGTGCCATCTCTTTCGTACTGCAGAACGGACCTAAAAAAAAAAAATAACAAAAAATAAACATTATTACTTCCTAATTTCTCCTTTGAAAGGAGTCCCAGATTCAATGAAGACTAAGGCCATTCTAGATGTATTAGATGCAGCCTTGGGTAGTCTCATGACTTTTGGAAGCATTTCAACCCAAAATACCATCACATTGATTGAAGATGATGAAATTTATTTTACGGTTAAATCCCTGAAGGCCAGGGTTTTTAGATCACAATCTGCTTTGTACAAAAATATTAAAGGGTGTGTTGTGAATCCTTACCATTCGTAAGTGCAAAACCACAGTCTATAACCTGTAATGAATGTGTTTATCAAAGAAAAATGTATGAAGTGTCCACATGTGAAAAACTCTTATTTTCTCAGGATACTTAACGCAAATAACTACAGAAATTTTGTTTAATTAATGTTGGCTGACGATTCTGAAAGAAAAAACAATCTTCCAGAGAAAAATTCACTCCCAGAAATCACATTCCTGAGGATACTCTGCAGCAATGGTAAGTTTACTCATTAATTCACCTAAAGTTGGTTATACAACAAGTGGGTACTTTGAGATAAAGTAGATACCATAGCAATATTTTCCAGCTGATGAAAAATGATGATAGAAGAAGGATCCAATTTGGGAGAAAAAAAAATTACTGTATCACAAACAGTGGCTGAAATTGATTTCTCAGTAACTAAGCTGTAGGGAGGCAAGATACAGAAGGAAGAAAAAGTTGTTGCCCTTTAATTTGGATACAGATATTCCTTGTTCAGACAAAAACTATCAGTGTACAGTTTGTCTTACTTGATTCTCTTTAAGCCAACTGTTCTCAAACCCATGTTTCGTACATATTTTAGGAATATAGGTAATCCTTGTCTTAACTTTCATAAACTTTGTATCTGTTCAAAATTAACACTGAAAAATGTGATTTATGACTATTTTTCACACAATTATTGCAGCATCTCCATGGTCACTAATCAGACTGTTCTGAAATCATGTGATCACCTTTTGACAAGCAGTCAGTGGAGAAGCTATTAACATTTAACAATTGTTTTACTAATTTAACAACTGCAGTAATTCACTTAACAATTGTGGCAAGAGGGGACGTTAAATGGGGCACTTAAACTCAACTATTTCATTTAGCAACAGAAATTTAAGATCCAATTGTGGTCATAAGTCAAGGACTACCTGTAGAAAGGCTAGCATTCTGATTTTGCATGCCAATTTACCATTTTGATTGAGAATTCCTACATAAGATTGAGAAGGACTGCTCTAGACATTACATCAATTCTCCTTAACAGCTGGAAAAAAATATTTGGAGAGGACCTAAGGAACTCTTCTCATCTTAAAATTGTTCTCAATTTTTTTAAAAGGTTTTCATTTGTAACTTCCCCTTGCAATTGTCTGAAACTGTTTAAAAGTATTAAAAATATACCTTAATGTAATAATGGTGTTATTATTTATCATATTTATACCAACCAGAATGACCTCAGAGATCATTGTCTTCAAGGGGTTACTCCAAAAGAACATTTAAATACTAAAAGACACTTGAATTCAAATTTCAAAAATTAAACCAACATTTGAAACTTCAAAAGCTTAATTTCTTCATACTACCTTTGCTATATTCTGAGTTTTATTGACCTAAAATAGTAGCTCTCAATTCTCCCAAAGAAAGCTTAGACTATTCCTTAGTGGCATGCAAGGTAATAACCAACCTCCTCTTTCCTTCATTTCCAACCCCAACTCACCTCACTGTTCAGGAAACAGTAGAAAACAGAGACAAAAAAGCCCTGGATGGAGAAGAAAAAAGATGATGGAATCAATTACCATTTAGAGAAGAGAAACAAATTGCCATGATCCCCCCACCCACCCAGGCTTTCTACAAAACAGATTAAATGATTAATGTCTTTCAACAGACACATACCCTGTTTCCCCCAAAATAAGACATCCCCTGATAATAAGACCAATCAAGCTTTTGAGTGCATGGCAATGAGGCCAAGCGCTTATTTCAGGGTTCAAAAGGGTATTGTTTTCAGGGAAACACGGTACTAGCATTCATGTCTCTAATCTAAAAATCAGCTCTACAACATGACTTGTCTTCTGTCTATTACAGTGGTGAAATCCAAATTGTTTTACTGCCGGTTCTGTGGGCATGGCTTGGTGGGCATGGCAGGGGAAGGATACTGCAAAATCCCCATTGCCTTCCCACTCCTGGGGGAAGGATATTGGAAAATCTCCATTCCCACCCCATTCTGGGACCAGCCAGAGGTGGTATTTGCCAGTTCTCCAAACTATTCAAAATTTCCGCTACCAGTTCTCCAGAACCTGTCAGAACCTGCTGGATTTAACCCCTGGACTATTATCTAACAGAATAGCAGTCTTTCAAGTGCTGGATTCTCCTTGCTTGCACATTGGCAATCTCTGAATTTTCTACATTTATCAGAAGATTTGGACTAGAGATACAACATATCCCTCCCAGTGTTGTACAAGAAAACGGACTGTGGTTAACTCAAAGAATGGGATTCATTCTTCCCATGTTTAATAACTGAATTTGTAACAAAAATACACACCTGAGGCCTCCAGTGCCTTGAACACAACCTGCAAAGTGGTTTCTCACCATTGAAAATTTCGCTGAATTGAAATTTTAATGTCATAAAGAATATCATTCAATTCTTGGAGAGTTTTCAACTATTCGCATTTTTAAAATGTAGTTACATTTAAATTAAATACAAATTCAAACACGTTTAGCTTTTGGCTCTGTCAACCTTTTAGCAAGTGGCCCTCCTTCAATTATGCTGATGTGCTTTCCCCCCATTTCTTGAAGCAGGAGGAAAGTGTGAAAAACACTGCTACACAACTAGGAAAGGTGGTGGAGCAGCATGTTAAATAACTACATAAAATATCTTTAATATAAGATATTCATATACCTTATATATAACATCACTGAAAAATCAGATCTATATTAATGCCATGTTTCCAACCTCAATTCTAACTCATTTCAGCTCTGAGTTTTGTGAGGTTCTGCCTACCTGGAAGGACTCCAAAAGGGAGTTGAAGTAAATGAAGACTATCCTGGATATTTCATCTTCTCCAGGGTTAACGAAGAAAAGCATGTAGGTTATTCCTAATAATGGAAGGAGCACAAGGGTGGCCTTCACCGCTTTCCTGAAGAAAGAGGATACGTATTACCATCCAGACTATAACGAATGGAATGGAATGGAATGGAATCAGTAGTGGGTTGCCCCCGGTTCACACCGGTTCTATAGAACTGGTAGTAAAACTGGTGCCCACTGACCCTGACATCATCAAAACAGTTCTGTGCCATGTGCAGAAGCTTCTGCGCTTGCGCAGAAGAGTGCACGAGCAAAGCAAGTGTGCACGCATGACCCCGTTGCGAACCTGTAGTAAAGATAAGTAGAACCCACCCCTGAATGGAATGGAATGGAATGGAATGGAATAGAATAGAATAGAATAGAATAGAATAGAATAGAATAGAATAGAATATTATCACTTTAAATGTACACTAATCAGCATACATTAAAATGAAATTTCATTACATTCAGCTCCCAAAAGATAATCGTTATGCATATACCCACATCAGGGATGGGTTCTAATTGGCTTTACTACCGGTTCTCTTTGTGTGTGTGCTTCACCGCGCACATGCTCAGTTCGCTCGCAGGTACATCAAACTTGCGCTTTGTGCAAGCACATTGCGAATCTGCCCAGCTGAGGTGCAGCAATCCACTCTGCCGCACTTCTCAGCTGGGCGAAAAAAGCAGACATATAAGGTCAGAATAAGGCGGGGGGGCGGGGGGGCCCAGCTCCCAAAGGCAGAGAAATGGTTCGGTGATGTCATATCGTCACTGCTACCGGCTCTCGCAAACCGGGTCGAACCGGGAGGAACCCACCACTGACCCACATACATACACATATATGACACAGAAACATCAAGAGTCTAGTTCAAATGTATATATGGTGAAAAAAAGAATCCTGTGAGTTTACAAGAATGGCATGTTACAGAATCTGGTAGTCTTACTATAGATACTATATCGAAACCTCCTCTCAGAGAAGAGCAATAGGAAACAGACTGTGAAGTGGGTGTGTAGGGCCTCTAATAATGCTTAGAGCTCTAAGCACATAGCACTTATAAGATTCCCTGAATAACAGGAAGCGAGCTGTCTATAATCTTCTCGGCTGTCCTTACCACTCTCTGTATGGACCTTCTATCTGAGGCACTGCTGCCACAAAATCAAACAATGATGCAATTTGTTAAAACGCTTTCAATCGTGCCTCTGCAACAAGTGGCCAGAACATAAGGAGAAAGATGTGCTCTCCTCATCCGACGCAGGAAATGTAAACGCTGGTTGTATGCTTCACTAAAGATAACACATGAAGAGACCAAATCAGATTGTTATTTATCTGCACCCACAGATACGTGAGTTGGTTTCCACCCAATAAAACTTGAATTGACCTAGTACTGAATCCTACTTCAGTGCTGGCAATGAGCCATTATTCTCTATCCTCTCAGAACAGTAGATTAGTAAGGGTGTTGGTTTGGTATGTTTTCTCCCAAATAACGCTGTTGCCCTCCCATTTACTCTGCTGACTTTCCTCTCCTGCATCCCCTCTTGAAGCAGCTATTTTAGTCATCTTCTTGGTTTTCTTTTTAGGACAGGCCTTCTTACAACCCTCTCTCTACTTTTCCCTCTTGCACTGCTCCTTCCCATCTAGGTTAATACCTGTACTGGATGGTCTCTGAGGTAGTCGAAGCCCGAAGCTTGGTCATCAGGATTCTGACAATATTGAATAAAAAAATAAAATTGATCTGAAACAGAAACAGAAATCAATTTGAAACTGATAAAATAATCGGGGAGGGAGAGTTTTATATCAAGAAGTGTGTAGCATAAATTAAAGTTATCTCCTAAATGAATCCATTATAGAGGCTACAAGAGTTGGAATAGTATCAAAACATCATTATCCTGTTCTTACTTGTACTATATATCATTTTTATGTTGCTTATTAATCCTTGCATTTTTCCCCCAGCAAGCCATTTAGGATTAGGTACAAAATGCTAAAAAAAAAAAAAAAAAGACAATCTCAACATCCCCGTTTTTCAAAATAGCAGCATGTTATTTATAGATGTTCTGAAAATGGGAAGATTTAGAGAAGCTTAGAAAAGTTTTTTTCATTATTGCAGTGCAACCATTTCATCAGATTACATTACTTATTAGCCTCATATAATGGACTCAGATACATCTCAGATTCAAGGTGTAAAGTTCAGGAACAGTCAAATAATAAGTTACTGATTGAATTCTTATTTAAACCATGGGCTTTCTGAACATCTGATACCCAACAATACACATACACACACATCTTCAAGCTGTAATGGCTCCATATCAATCTGCATGGTAACCAATGAGTCTTCTCATAGTATATATTTAATATCCTATGGGGATCCTCACTTGAGCATTCCCATTTGCTCAGTTAATCCTTGTTCCATCCTGTTACCATCATATATTTATACCAGTATATAGATTTAAGAAATGCAGCCTAGTTTCCAACTCTCAGAGAATGTACACAGCATATCTTGAAAATACATTTTTATATATTGTTTTAAAGTTTCCAATGTAGTAGCAAAATGCACTTTTTAATTTTAATTTTTCAGGCTACTTCATTCTCTGCCACTGGGAGGAGCTATTTTCTCAACTATTTAAAGCAAGAAGGAGATAGATTTTATTTGTCAGGAATTTATCAAAGGTATTCTTCCCTTGGGAGTGTTTTGATATAAAATTCGAAAATTCAGTTTGTTACTTACTGACCAACCAACTGTTACTAACCAATAGAAAACAAGAGGCATCTGTTCAATTCAACATTGCCTCCATTCCCTGGTTATATTGTTAGGCTGGTATTTGTGCTAACGTCAGACAGAATACTATTGTCTATTATTGTATTAACTGTTATTTACTTTCTAACATTATACTGATTTTCATTCATTTATTTTATTATACATCTGCCTTCTCTCCGTCAATGATTCTAGCTTACAACTAGATAAAAACAATATATAATATTAAAATGATAAATATTAACATTAAAATAGATAAGATAACTAAGGAAGGAACCAGTATATAACAGGGTGGAAGTGAAGTTTTTTTAAAAAAAGATCCATTAACCATCTCTGTATGGAATGCCCCCATATGGAGATGGGATATTAAAACTCCAGACCAATCTTAGACTTATCTATATTAATTCAATATTATGCAATAACATTCATATATTTCTTTCTTTTAAGTGCCCCCTCCCCCTGCCTGAGTCTTTAGCACATCATCATTACTGTACTTCTTTGTTGTGCATTTATGAGTATGCAATAGAACAAAAGGTGAACTGACTGTTTTTATTAGTATCAACTTGAGCATAGAACAAAAAGTTTATTGTGTGTGCCTTCAGTCCTTATATAAGAAAATTTTAACTATATCTTTTTAAGCTTTAAGAATTCAATATAAGCAGTAAATAACAAGGCAAGTTTTGGGGTATAGAAAGTTTTAAATAGATTAAGGGCTCAAAGAATGTTTGAATATTTTATTTTGAATATTAAGAGTTTGAAATTAATTTTAAAGAATAAATGCATAAATATTTTCAGTATTGGTGATATAACATAATAAGCAACTTATAACAGCATTCAGAAAATTTGTTGAGGAATGGCAACTGGACTTTGAATCAACATTTTTAGTTAGATTGTATTTTTAATGAACATCCTGTTCCTAGAAAAAGTTGTTACACCAGAAAAGGCTGATTTGGGGGGAGGGGGGGAAAGGGGGGAAGGAAAACAATTATCTGACATGATTATGAAGAACAACATGAACAGGAATTTATCACTGGATATGTAAAAAAAATGGATCGCTAGAAATTAAGAAGAAAATAAAAATATTTTTATTAAAAATAATAAAGGTCCAGAGAATAATTGGAATAATTTGTTCCTGCTTGAATTTACAAAAAGATTTGTTACAGTTTTGAAGAAATTAGAGACAAGGGATAATGATCATTCAAATGGATTAAAGAACAAGATGATTTTATGTAAAAATAAGGTTTATAAAGTTGGCTTATTTGATTAGTGTTAAAATGGGATATGTTGTTACTTGGAGATGTTATTTCTGGAGTTGTTGACATCTGGACTGGAAAAGATGTCCATTCTGATTTTCTTACAGAATTTTATGCTTGTTAACTAATGTGATTACTTTAGAGATCTGTTTTGACTTCTTGCTGATACCTGGATTTGCCTATAGTTAACAGCGGAGGTATGGGGTGAAGAGGTTTATATATCTGTTAACTAGGAGGAGATTGTGAAATTGTTTATATTTGTCATGATGAGGGTGGGAAGTTACTTTCTAAGATTCTTTTCTTTTTCTTTTCTGTCTATTTTTTTCTTTCTTGCACCTTTATTTTTCAATCTTTCTTTGTCTTTTTAGTTTGCATTATCTTTTATTATTGTACTTAGACCTCTTAATAAAAATATTATTTTAAAAGAAGCCAACATATTTTACAGAAAACACTCTTTCTCCATAACATGAGCAGTTTATTTTTTTTGTTAAATACCAGCTTCCTCAGAGCAGAAAGCTTATAACAACCAGTGCCAACTGGGGTGACAAAGAGTATCCATATGTTGCCCTATGAGTAATATGAACAACTCTGTGAGCAAGAAGCCAAGCAGACTAAGTGAAGAGTGTTGAATATTGCATGAATGGCACAAGAAGTGAACCATGAATAAATTATTTTATTTAGAAAGAGAGGGATATAAGAAAATTGGTATTTACCAAAGGTTGAACCTATACTCCCTTTTGGATAGTAATGGTACGTTGTTTGTAATATGTTCAATTCAGTGGTAGATGGCCCCCGGTTCGGACCAGTTCACAAGAACCGGTAGCCGGGAGGCTCCACCCATCACCCCAGATGTCATCATAGGTGATCTGCGCATATGCAGAAGCTTGGTGCGCGCACGAGCAAAGTGAGCATGCATGCGCAATCCCGTTGCGAACCAGTAGTAAAGGTAAGTAGAACCCACCCCTGGTTCAATTCCTAATAGAGTCAGAGAGTTAAACAAGTTGAATTTAATTGCACCTGTTCCCCTCTTGTGTTATTGATTTCTATAAACAACAACACATGTATCAGTTGTCGGGGTCTTTTGTCAGGGGTTTTATGCTACCCTGTTGCCCCTAAGGAAGTGGGTCATATCTTATTATTGATCTAACCTTGTTCTGTACAAGAACTGTCTTTTATTCTAGGCAGCAAAATGACATATCTGGTCATAAGTCTAAAAACTCTCAAACAGATTATGAAGATTAGAAAAAGATTACAATCTTATCCCCTATTTCAAACAGCTGACTAAACTTCAGACTAAACTGAGGAAAACCTAGTGATGAGAATGTCTAGTGTCTTTTATCCTCTGCATCATCTATGAATATGATACAAAATTCTTGGCACAGTTTTAGAACTGGTTCTTTATCATTTTGGTCATGTTAAAGAACAATATACAAGTAGCTCCTGGGTCTCTTCTTTATATTACATTGAATGACCTGACCGAAGCAGGATAAAATATCTGGGTCATATGTAGTGCTAAATTCTGGGTTAACGCCATGTATAAAAGCTGAATGGAGAATTGAAATCTTAGGCAATATTCTAACCTATTCCCTTTCTTCTTCCCATGAGAAAGTATTAAATCAGCATTCTCTTGTCTACATAGGAAGCAGAAGATCAGTGCCTAAAGCAATACATTCTCAATTGTTTAGTATATTTTAAACCATACCTTCTGCTTTATATAGAACACCAAACCATTGGGGATTATGGAAGCTATAGGCCCCTATTTAAATAGCTTTCATTTGAAGAAAGTTGCTTTGAAGAATGGAATTAAAACAACTTTGGACTGAAAGACCTTCCTGAGATAGATTGCTGTAATTTCTAGTTGAGGATCTTGTGTCCTCTTGCCTCTATCAATTCAAGTATAATTTAATACTCAGATTCGGAAACAATAATGACCACAGTTCACAGAGAGCACAAACAATTGCAATATCTCTGTATGCTTGGCATCAGCCTCTAACAATACAATCACTTCCCACTTTCTCCCCAGGACTCTGCATTGATCAAGGTTGCAACAGAGATATGGTTAGGTTAATAAGGCAGTGGCTATTATCCTCATCAAAGAACATTATTAGCAGGCTTGCTGGGAATGGGGAATGTGTGTGAAGTATGCTGCGTTCAATTGATACAATGGTGATAGGATGAGAGAAATTGGCAGGGAAGTACAGCAACAGGACAAAAATGGAGTGGAAAGAGGAGGAGTGGGAAGAAAGAAGGAGTAAAAGAAAACTGTAATTCAAGGGACATGTCACTCTTTTGTTGTTACTTTAAGATAGCAAAATGTGACACTGCTTTGGAGGAGTGTAACCCTTACTCCTGCAACCCTTGTCTTATGGAAATGATTACCCACAAGGAAAGAAATCCTTGGACTTTTTCAGTTCTCCTTTTTTCCATGACTGAAAAAATAGTTTGGTATTTTTAGTGAACAAGTGGCTTCCAATAAAAATTTTAGTGCTCACTTTGTTTCTCGCCCAACCTACTGACACTAATAAAATTAGGTCTCTCTGTCATGAGAGCAAAAAGGAAGGAAGAAAAGCAACCTGAGAATAACTCCTTAATGCAAAGCAAGTCAAAATATTATTTTTCCAGTATGAAAGTGTAAAGAATTACATTCAGGACAACCAGAGGCATAGCAGAACAGGGTTAAAACTTTTCAGAGCTGAACAAAAGAGAAAAATTAGTTTGCACATTTTTCTGCTACTAATAATTAATTGATCCTGCCAGATCTCTTTTTTTCATTCATAATTACTGCATTGGGAATGCTCTTCTCTTTTGCCTCTGGTCACCCTGGAAAATCTTGGCGTTATATAGGAGGGGGCTTCCATTCTTACCAGCAGCACCAGTATCATTGGACCTTGATAGATGTAATCAGTGAAAACTCCTGCACGCTTCCCAAACCAGCACCTGCAAGTTAAAACACAAACAGATAAATCAGTGTTTTTAAAACTTGGCACTTTTAAGATATGGGGACTCCAATGGGCAGTTGGTGGGCAGTTCTGGGAATTGAAGTCCACACATGTTAAAGTTGCCAAGTTTTAAAAACATTGAGATAAATAATGTTTGAGGGCTTGACTTTAAATATACATGAAGCAGAGCTAGAGTTCAAGACCCAAATCCATATTTTGTTTCAGCTATTTATTTTATTTATTTGTTTAAATTTCTATACCGCCCTTCTCCAAATAGGACTCAGGGCGGTGCACAGCCTAAGTAAAAACAAAGCATACAAAATTTAAAAAACAGTATTAAAATAATTAAATATTCTGGCCGTAAATTAAAACAACCCAATTTAAAATCAATTTAAAATTTAGCTCAAGCCAGCCCAGCTAGTTGAAATAAATAGGTTTTCAGGGCCCGACGAAAAATCCGGAGGTCTGTTATTATACGTAACTCTGGGGGAAGGTTATTCCAGAGGGTGGGCACCGTCACAGAGAAGGCTCTCCCCCTGGGGGTCGCCAGCCGACATTGTCTGGCAGACGGCACCCTGAGGAGGCCCACTCTGTGCGAGCGTACTGGCCGGTGGGAGGCTATTGGTGGCAGTAGGCGGTCTCGTAAGTACCCCGGCCCTAAGCCATGGAGCGCTTTAAAGGTGGTCACCAACACCTTGAAGCGCACCCGGAAGACCACCAGGAGCCAGTGCAGCTCGCGCAGGAGAGGTATCACATGGGAGCGCCTCGTCGCCCCCATAATCCCCCGCGCGGCCACGTTCTGGACCAGCTGGAGCCTCCGGGTGCACCCCAGGGGGAGCCCCATGTAGAGAGCTATGTGAAATAATAATACTTACAACCTGTCCAATAGTATAAAAAGAAAAACTCTCTGTTTGGGGTGCCTTTTGATGTTCAACAATTAGCCCCTCTCCAGAGAAGCAAGGCAAAGAAAAATAACTTTTGATTAATTTATAGTTTACTGACAGCTCTACTCCAAAGTCATAGTTTGCCCTAGGAGAGAATTTCATTATAGTCCAGAATATTTTTTATTTTTAAATCAATAATTTTATTTTTGTAACAAAACAATATTCAATCTTCAAAAAACCTTTAGAAAAATTAAATACAGTCTATTCACCACCTTGATTTATTTATAAACAAGGTCAAAGTGAAAAAGAAATCAAGTAAAATATGAATTAAGGAGCAAAGTCTACCTTATATTTTATGTTTATTAGTAGACACTGGCTTACCAATAAATTCTTATGTGTGATAAAATATTTCTTTTCTTAGTTTATATTAAAAGCTAAGCACTTCCAACTGCTGAACCTTTCAAGCATGGCAACTTCTCCCCCACTAAATCTTTTTGAAATCACAGGAAAACATCCTGTATTGTTGTAAAGTACATGTTGTAAAGTACACAGCAAGAAAAATAATATCTGCTGAGAATAAAGTACATCATTAGCCAAAAAGGACATTTGGAATGCTGAGATGATGTGCTCAGGTAGAGATCAATTTCTGGTTGAAATCTTTTTTTCCTTCTAGTAGATGAGATGTAGCCAGTCAAAAAGCACTCATCTACCAAAAAGTAAACTAGAGAAGTAGTTTCCAAACAGACCTTTCATTCCCCAGGTCATCATTTCTTTTGAAGGTCCCAAAAACATTCGTATCACTTCTATTTTCTAAGAATGCTTTATGGGACCATCTGCTAAATAAAGATGTTTGTTTGGCCTGGATCCAGCAGCACCAAGATAACCTATGGAAATATATTTGCCTTTTTCAATGTATAATATTCTACACTGTCCCATTTTACTTTCACTGGGGGTAGGTTATTCCTACTGAAACGGTTAACGGAACTATCCATCCTATTTTGATAAGCAAAACTTCCAATAAATTCTGTAGAGGTCAAATCACATAATTAAATATGGGTTAAAATACTTTTAGCTGCCAATGCCTGTGTTTTTTCTTTGGACTGTATTATGGAGGAGGGGGAGCAATATTAACTCACCTTTTCCTGTGGCCTCCAATTCTTACATATTAATCAGATCCTTTACGCCTGCAGTTTCTCAAGCACTCACACAAATGAAGTTTGCTAGCCAATGTCTTCAAAGTGCCTATGTTTGCATTTGCTGTGCCTTTGCAGAGAAAGTTGCATACCTTTTATCCCAAAAGAGGACTGCTTTTTAAGAATCTTGCAGCTGATTACAAGACTGTAACCTGGTTTAGCCATGACCTCAGTTAGGACTTAGCATGGAAATGAAAACCAGGGCTGGCAATTAAGGTAAAAGGTGGCAGCCTGAAATCAATCCTGTTTGTCTGCTTGATTAATTATTATGGAATAGGCTTGCCAGGAGGCTGCTAAGTCTGCCATTATCAAATCCTTGGGAATGGAGGGCCAAGGGCACAGGGAAAACACCTTATCTGCTCTTGTTAAATTAGAATATTGTCTAAAATGAACGGAGTCTCCCCTTTTGAGTTTCATTAGAGGTACTTGGTCTGCCTAGTCTGTTATTCTCTTTCTGGATAAATTCTAGTTTGTGATTGAATGATATACTTTTTTTTTTCCAAAAGATTTGTTCAGTTTTCATTAACCATTCCACTTTTGCTAGCCACAGTCACAAAGAACCTCACAGCACCTTGAAACTTGACCAACTGTGCAAGCCCTAATAATAAAGGCTGAATTAGATTGGGATATTGAAGCTCCGGGCTTACATCCTTATAGGTTTTTTAAAAGCAGCAGCAGCAGGGTGTATAATTAACAGCGAAGGAGAAAAGAAGTTAGATTTACGCCATGATATTTGAAGTGAAGAAAAGATTGACCCTTCCTTGCCTGTATCATTTTTGCCCTTCAGGGAAAACACAATACAGTGTCTCAAGCTTATTTGTTTTAATGGGACCAGAATCTTGCTTTGCTACAATAAACGAAGATTTATAAGATTACGGTCCTGAATTTGGAAAGATAAGGAACTACATATTTGAGCTAAAACAACCCCAGAGGCAACAAATCAAGTATCTTTAGAAAATCTGAACTGCAATTTCTATAATCCCCTACTATTAGCAATGCAGGTTGAAGCTGATAAGTTGCAGTTCTAAAGAGTAGATTTCCTATTCCACCACATGGCTTATGCCATAGATCACAGGTGTCACGTTGCCTTTATGAGATATATTGCAACGTTTTTTCTTTTGTGGAGCTGGGTTGGGCATGGCATGTGGGTGACGCATCCGGCCTGTGGGCCGCCAGTTTGACACCCCTGCAAGATGTTGCTATTTCTCCTCTACTGCCATCTTAAAAGAGGCAAAGTACTAAAGAGTACTAGAATATACTAGATACTTATTTGTATCTAATATTTGTGATATATTTGTGATATTCACAGATAGGGTTACAGCTGTGTTATGTATCAGAAAGCTGAAGGAAGTGGAGAAAATATTAGTGGGTTAATATATGTTGTATATTATGATGCATAATTCTTTATTTATACAGCAAATTTGCAATATGGATTGGGGTGAGAAGTAGCAACTTGATTTATTATGTGCCATCAAATCAATATCAACTCAGAGCAACTACATCAAGAGTTTCTCTACAGGATAATCTGTCTGTAACATATTCCTTCAGGTCTTCCATTGATACACCTATTGTCTCTGTAAATTAGTCCATCCACCATGATATTCAACTTTTCCATGAGAGCTACTATAGATCTTTGCATAATGTGTCCAAATGTATAAGAAATTGAGCCTAAATCATGAGTGAAAATCCATTTGTTTGTTTTCTTGGCTGTCTATGGTATTCTCAAAAGTCTTCTTCAACATCAGAGTTCAAAAACATCAATACTTTTCATATTCTGTTTCTTCAATGTAGCAACTGAAAAGACCTATGAAATAGCTTTAATAGAGCAAGATATTTTTTTCAAATAGAGATTATACTCCCTGCTACACCTGAACATAATAATCATACAGTGGAAATTCCTCTTTCTACATAACTTGAAAAAGGAATTCCTTAAATGTTTTTGTATTTACTTTGCATTATTTTAATGTTCAGTTTGTTGTTTTATCTTGTATACTGTAAAATTTTATTGTATGCTGTAAAAATTTATTGTATTTTTAACTGATTAACTGTAAACCAATTATAATTCTTTTAAAAGAAGATGGTGTGGTATAATCGTTAGGACATTGCACTAGAACCAGGGCAATCAAGTTCAAATCCATTCTTATGAATGAAAATTCACTAGGTAAATTGCAGTATGTCCCTTACTGTCAGCTCAGCCTACCTCACAGGGTTGTTCCTATGTGGACAAAATGATGGGAGATCTCTATGTAAGCTACCTTCATCTCTTGGCTCTGCCCTCATTAACTAGAGTTCTATTTGGACATTGCAATCCAAGGCAATTTCTGATTTGCATGCAACCTGAAAATGGAAAAACCTACATTTTGCATAGATAAATTGCTTTGGTCAGATTCATGCATCGACAAAGAGGTGGGAGAAAAGAAGTAACCAGTATGAATAAGAGGAGGCCTGTTAGTAGGGCTACATTTCCCCTCCTACCTAACCTTCTGAAATAATTTCAGACCGTTCTTGATTGCAAAATGATTCATGCTTCTTGGATGCCAGCAGGGCACCCACCCACTGTATGGTAACACAAGCTTGATTTGGAAGTCATTACCATAGTAGCAGAAAAGTGGATGTGAGATTGACTTACTTCTCGTTGTCATAGTAGAGTTTTCCAATAGCCCAGGCAACAATGATGGGGAAAGGGATGCCTGTGAATGGAACAAGTAGTTTTAGTGGTGCCATCAACACACAGGTTGAACATGAAGGGATCCAGCTTCATCCACAAAACCAACCAAAAATCTCACTATTTCCTGAACTAGGACATTTTGCTCCCAGGACTGAAGCAGCATATGAAAACTCAATCCAACACAAGATGTGTTGTGCCAAAAGCCAGTAAAATTATTGTAGCAGTTATGATGGTATATCTCCCCCATCTGAGCAGTAAGCCTGTTTCCTTTTCATGGCATGAAAAGAGGCTTCTTCAAGACTTTCCCGAATGATAGGACTGATCTAGATGTTCTGGGGCAGTTTTCTGGGTGTTCTGAATACAATGAATCTGTGCAAATTGATTATATGCTATCAAGTCAGTGTTGACTCTTGGCGACCACCAAGATTAATTTATGATTCTGAGTTTACTCTCATATTTTGTTTCTAATACCAATGTAGAAAAGCAGTTCCTTGAACATTTAAAAAGCTGCTGTACTTCATCTCAATAGGGACTTATAATTTATTTATTGGTTTATTTATTTCTTCAATTTATAAACCTGTCAACTTGCCACTCTAAGTGGCTTTACAAAACTATTAAAAGCGTCCAAACAAAAACAAAACCCACAGCAATAAAACAACTGTACCCAGGAAACACAAGCTCCCATTACACAGTCTAGAAAATTCACATATCACCCTAGGGTCTGTGGGATAGAAGGGTCAAGACCATATGAATATCAATATCTTATCATGATTCAACCACAGAATCTCCTTTTATTTCTCAGTATCAGCAGTAAAAGTAACATGATAGATTATTTCTGAATTTTTGTAGTGGCAAAATTGGGTCCAGAATTTGTATGATAATAAAGATGAAGTGTTCCAGAGAGTGGGTAAAGCTCTACTAGGCAAACAGAAGCAACTATTTTGGATGGTGGATATTAAAAGGCAGCAGCAAATTGTTTCAGAAGAGTTGCTCTTCACTTCAGGCCACACAATATCTTGGGGCATCCCTTTGCATAAACTTAGAGTAATAAAGATTATAGTATCTTCCCCAACAGGTGCCTTCCAGAATTTTTATCCTCCCTCCTCCTGTTATCCAATTGTTATGCTAGTTCAGGTATGATTAAATTAAAAAAATAATAATATAGTGATGCCCTTGTATATTTCTTTGTTCTACCAGATATCACTTGATGGGTTGAGTTCTCTTCCTATCGGTGCCAATTGGATACATTGAGGGAATTCATTTCAGGAGAGATCTCCTATCCCTCTCCCACCCTTCTCCTTGCCACTCACACCAGCCGAGACAGATGAACATCCACTTCCGCAGCTTGTCTGTTGAATAGGTGAGAACAATAGCAGTGTGCAGATAGCATCCTTCACCAAACATCCAGAAGAAGTTAGTGACATGGAAATAGTTGTAAGCAGCTGTGACAAGGCGGCACCATAGCTACAGTGTGTAAGGACAAGCAGAATTAATGAGAGTTCTAGGAAGCTTCTGGTTAGGCAGCTGATTAAGAACCATTAAGGTGTGGTAAAGGATTAAGGAACTATTATGCTTAAGGTGTGATAAAAGATCAAGATGACCAGTAGCCATGGATGTCCATGGAACAACCAAGCCCATTGTTGTATCTCAGCTCAACCTACCTAGTAGAGTTGTTGTTATTGGGAAAATTAGAGGAGGGAGTGTTCCATATTTTCTTTTAGTTAACAAATAAGGACAATTTAAGCAAAATCTATCCATAATCAAGTTGTTATACAGTTTCATATACCCTGCCAACATTTGAAATTCATTGAACGTTCTCCTTCTACTGAACTGTCATTCTCATCACCATAGGTAGGCATTGCAGGATATGTTATCTAAAATGCACCAAATTAAGGAAGTTTATGTTGGGTATAAAAAGCCCTATCCACTTTGTTTCTAACTATAGCTCTTTCATAATGCTCCAGACTAGTAACAATTTGACTAAACAAACAGTTTTGGAAAGCATCTCTTACAGTATTTTGCCGATCAGACTAATAAAAAGATACCACGTTAGAACTGCCGGAATTTACAATAAAAATATTTCTTTCTCCTCTTCTTTGTTACTTTGAAACTAAGCACTAAAACACTAATAACACAACTTATTATTCTAGTTTTGTTATTATTATTATTCTATTTTTCTGTATAAAAGTTTGACAGGTTTATATTTGTCCTGTGCCAATCATTCTGCTTATATTCAGTAATATGGCTGGAATTTAAATGTGCTGGAGTTGCTTTTTTATAGTTTAAATCGTGCAACTTTCCTAAAATTTGTTTTGTAACAAGATTACTGTAAACCACAAAAACTGCTGAGTGGAATGTCATGTCTAGGAAACAGCAACCTCAGATGAATGAGCCAATCATTTAAAAGGAGTGCAGTGCTACATAAGAAGGAGTTATACTATCTGACCAAAAATTACAGGCCAAGAGGGAAGACAGGCCACAATTCAAATTGGAGATTTTAAGCATGGGGAAAACAGCACTAACACCTAACATAAAGTGTTGGCTTATCTTAGAAGGCAAAAGGCAGGAAAATTAAGTGGGTCTAAAAATAGAAAAGAATCTTCATATATTTTTCAGTCATTTGCAGGAAAAAGTAGGTAGATTCCTACAAAAAGCATGTTTTAAAATTTGTAAAATAAATAAATAAACCATGTTTCCTAGTTTTACTGCAGTGCAAACAGTTTTAAGAATTTGACAGCCAGCAGTGTTTACAGGGGAGCAGTCAAAATTGTCAAGAAGACTGTTGTGGCAGTGCAGCTGAAGTCCTGCCCCTCTGTATGTGTGATTGCTACCACAACTAGCATATTGGCTTTTTTGACTCTATTAGACACTGGTACATAGAGCTAAAGATTAGGTTGTTATTTCAGGTTGATATGTGATCCACAGATTCCTTACTGAGACATTCAGAACAGGAGTAGGGAATATGTAGTCCTCCATTTATTGTTGGACTTTATCTTCAGTTAGGCCAATGATTATGTACACAGGGAAGTGCAACCTATCAAATTTGGAAAAGCCATAGGTTCTTTACCCCCATACAGAGATATCTGATTCAACCATTTATGTTGTCACATTGCAATCCATCAAATTGTGCCTTTAAAAATAAAAATAGGCAGGCAGCCTGTAATGAATTAAGCCATTTGTGTATGGGCTCTACCAGGCTTTCTAAAGAATATCATGGTCCAGACTTTAAAACATAGGCAAAGCCAGAACCAGATTTTCCGTGGGAGATCAGGATCCTAAAGGGTAGAATGTCTATATTGAACTCCTGCAAGGTTAAGGCAGAAGTTTAACCTGATTAAGACCCTCCTCACATGCAAAACAGAAAGAAAGTAACCATAACTGGTAACCAGTTTGCCAAACTGCTCAGAAAGTTAACAACCGGTTCTCCCGAAGTGATGCAAACTGGCTGAATCCCACCACTGCATAGGCCATATTAGTAAACTGCTGGGCTAGCTATACTACACTGTTTCTGTCTCTCCAGAGTTTTTTCCCAGCTAATCCTAAGGATTCAAACTAGAGTTTTGGTATAAGAAATCTGTCCTTTGCCACCAAGCTAATTAGAAGCTTCACTATCAGTAGTATCTTTAAAGTCCATAGTGCTTCCCAGTATAGTATTATGATCTTTTAAAGGTTTGATTTTCACAACAGTCTAAGTAATCAAGACCTCAAAAAAACCCTGAAGGTTCAGTTTCTCAAATTGTACCTTAAAGTAATTTTGTGCCAAACTCTGCTTGAACCTACCACATTGCTTTCATGCACTTCTGGATTCATGGTGAGTTGTACCACAAACCATGTTGCGTTCCGCAAGATGAAAGCAGTGATCAGGTTCCAGTGGATAATATTTCGTAAGCATCGTATACTCCTGCAGGGGAAAAGAAACCACTCAGTGTGTAGTGTAGGCACAGCGTAGCTAAGACACCAAAAATACACGCATTCCAACTGTCAAGTTTCAAAGGAGAATATTTTCATCTGATGATCCTATACCTTCGTGCATACTCACCGAAGTCGCATGAAGAGGACAAAAGCTGCCAGCAATGCCCCCAAAGAAATGCAGTGCCCAAGGTAATTAATCACAACAGCAATGTGATAATGCAGTTTGCTTCTCTTCTACAACAGGAAAGACACAAGAGGAGTCTATGAGATCAAGAGGATATGTAGGAAATAAGACAAGAATATGATTATAGAATATGGTGATTCTAGAATATGGCGATGACTATATGGTCACCAATCTTTACTTCAAAATTGTTGAGCCCCTGGTTTAGATCCCAAAAAAATGAGCCAGACCTAAAACTAGAACCCTTAAGAATAACTACTGGTAGTAAAGAATTTAGCATCAGTGGGAACAGAGTAGAAAAGATAAATCAAGGCCAACGAATCAGATTTTTATTGAGCTTTCTCTGACCCCCAACACTGATTGCTTGCCAAGGGCTGAGATCAGCAGTGTAATGATTTGGCTACCCAACTGATGATACAAATAATTTTACAGGCAATCTTTTATCAGGAGCAGCATTAGCAACTGCCCTCTAAGCATTATCTGCTTGCTAACTCATTCAATGGCAATTAATTCTATAGCTTAAGTATGCATCGTGGAAAGAAGGATGTTTTTCCTGGATCGTTTCTGGTGAAATTGATTAGCAGAAGCTTCAGGATTAACTATGTGCAATCATACCATTGAAAGAAAACAATGTTTTGCTGAAAGATGCATTGGGAAGTGACAGAAGAGGAGCCACAGACAACAAGAAGAAAGTGCTCAGCAGTCATTTAGAAATGCAGATTGCTGCATGGTGATATTCCATCCTTCTAAAAGGTGGCCTAAATAGACCTCCAAAAATGGAAAAGAAGGTGTGTGTGTGTGTGTGTGTGTGTGTGTGTGTGTGTGTGTGTGTGTGTGTAATGCTGGAAGACAGGATTACTTGCAGCAGACTTCTGTTTAAAATGCTAAAGTCTTTTTTGAAAGGGCCAGCTATTTTTCTCCACATTAATTGCTAATTCACACAGTGGATGCCAGTCTCACAACAGGGCAGTTGGCTAATTTAATTACTTAGTCCTCCTCTCCTGTGATTTCTATCCAAACCCCCAAGGACAGCTAAATTTAATTGCTACAGTGGATATATCATGTTTCCAGGAACCTTGGTTAAATTCTAATTAACTAACAGCCTTCTGGGATTTTCCAGATAATGGCCACACAACAAAAAGGCCTTGCATATTTCCTTCACCTCCTGCCCTCATGCAGAACCTGAAAAGGCAGGAAATGTTTGCACTCACCACTAGCTCTTATTCTAGTGAGTGACAAACCACCAAAGGCCAACTTCAGTGCAGGAAAGGCCTGAAATAAAAACCCCACGTCTGCCCAACCTCTCCTTAAAAAGCTACTCAGGTGGTTGCCAATAAGGCTATAACCTTTTGCAAAGTACTAAGTTACCCAAATGATACCTGCCATATCCTAAAGATTCTGCTGCCAGGATGGTCCCAACTATCTGTCCGTACCTTTATTTTTATATTAAGTAAATGGGCATACACTCAATAATGTCTACCATTATTATGCTTTAGGAAACATTATGGAGTATTTGGTTCTCAAAAGAATTTTTGGAAATAAGGAAACTATTGGAGACAGAATGCTTATTCTTTAAAATTATTATTTTTTAAAAATAACCCTAACCCAGTTTGAGATGGAAATGTTTGTGAACATTGCATATAAGCCCATACATTGGGGATCCCAGACCTCTACACTCAATGTTTAAAATCTCAAATTATTTCCATTCCACGTAAAAAGAATTCTGCAAATCCCATTACATTTTTATTTAAAAACACAAATTCTTAGAACCAAAAGATGTAGTTGAAAAGATATCTCCCTGCTCCCAGACTAGCATTGTAGCCGTTGGACTGCACTATCTCCCATTTGTAGCTGTATCAATATCTAATACTGCCTTCTTTGTTTAATTAAACAGAACAAGTTCATCCTTGATTGAACCTTTAGTGTAAAATTTTATGTCTGCATTTACATTTGAGATGTATTCAAGCACACACCCAAATACACATTTGTTGTTTTACCCCTTTTTTTTAGTTTTTTTTCTCTTCTGTTTAATTAAATGAACAGAAACCATGAATTACTCCAATCTGTTCATTGCTAAGACCTATGTACATTCTGAAAATGATTGAGATGAAGTGCTTTGGATCTTGAAAAAGCCCAGAAATCTCAATTGTTCATAGCCTGTCTTTTTCAGACTTCCATATGTAATAGAAAAACAATGCATCTACTTGAAAAGTGGCTTTTAAAACCTCAGTAAATGATCTGATTCATTAAAGCAGCATTTTTCCCCCCAAGTTCATCAAATGTAGCTGCTTTAATAAACAGCAAGATGCTGTGCTGGCATAAGGTGTAAAACAATTTTTCCAAATAACTTTTGAAATGTGCATAACTCCACTGTCCATATTTTTATTAATAAAAGAATATTATAACTCTGGCCCATTTGCTACATATAACAGCAAGAGCAATAGCACTTATACAGATAATCCTCAATTTACAACTGTTTGTTTTAGTGACCATTTGACGTTAACAACAGCACTGAAAAAAGTGATTTATAAGTTTTTCACACTTATGACCATTTTCACACTTATGACCACTTCATGGCCATGTGATCAAAATTCAGATGCTTTATGATGGTTACAGTGTCCCAGGTACTTTGTGACCTTCTGACAAGCAAAGTCAATGAGGAAGCCAGATTCACTTAACAACTATGTTGCTAAATTAATAACTGCAGTGATTCATTTAGCAACTGTGGCAAGAAAGGTTAAGGGCAAGACTCCCTTAACAACTCTCTTACTTAGCAACAGAAACTTTGGGCTCAATTGTGGTCGTAAATCAAGGAATATCTATACACCACTCTGTAGAACATTACAGCACCACCTTTATCTGGTTACCATACAGTAGTCCTTACCTCCTCATGGAGAATCTCTTGGCACTGAGAATAATTCACACGGGCTGCCCAGGTTCCATTTGCAAAACATTCTCTGTACACATTGTCTGAAAAAGAAAAACATAGTGGCAATTGAGTGGTACAAACTGCATGAAACAAATGATGAAAAGAATGTCTTATAAAATGAGATATTCTGACTAGGCAAGCAAAATAATCCCTGGCATTCTTAGCTGAATCAGCTGGTCTATAGAAAATAATTTTTTTAAAGTTTTGTTTATACATGGGTTTCTTTATATAAAAATAACAGGAGACCTTATAAGTTTGCAGAACTAGAGCATGTCATTTGTTGCTTTAATAACATATTATTTAATACTACACATGTAGTATTATGCATGAACAGAAAAAGATTTTTTAAATTATTGAGATTATAGGAAAAGTCTGGTCTTGGATTACTGCCAAATTATTCATATACTTTAGATGCAAATTCTTATTTGATATCTGCCAGAGGCTTGAATGCTTTCCCTCATTTAAGACATATGATTAGTTATGGTATGTTACTTGACAAACTTTGGTCACAGAAAAACATGGCTCAAGATCAATATTTGGTCTTTTCAAAAGTGATAAGAATTCACAAGCAAACAAAACTGGATTTAACAGAATGCGTTAACAGAATGAATTAATTTGAATGAGTCAAGCAAGGACTATTGGATCCATTCGTGACTCTTACTCACAGGTTTTCTTCTGACCTTTGAATGATCTCATAAAAGATGGGGTACTTGTGTATACCAATCTTCTGAATTTGATGAACTGCAAATGCATCGATTTATAAATCCCATAATTCATCCATAGCATGAAAGTCCAATAATAAAATGTGGCATAAAAGAAGCCACAAAGCGAATGAAGAGATTTTTTCAGGATGTAGAGACTATATTTAGTATGAAATTCCTGTGATACATAATTTTATTGCATTCTTTGACAAAATCAGTGCACCAGTGAAATGCTGTAAATATAATTTACTTGCACTTCAGTAAGGCATTTGATAAAGTTGACCACAACCTACTACTTGATAAGGTAAAAAAATGTGGATTAGACAACGTAACTACCAGATGATTTCATAACTGGCTGACCAATCACACTCAGTGTGTAATCCTTAATGGAACTGCATCTACATGGAGGGAAGTATGCAGTGGGGCACCCCAAAGTTCTATCTTAGACCCAAAGTTCTTTATCATTGATTTAGACAAGGGGATAGAAGGGGAATTCATCAAATTTGCAGATGACACCAAGCTGGCAGGAAGAACCAATATTCCAGAAGGCAGAGTTGGGCCCTATCTAACAAAATGAAATTCAGTGTAGAAAAAGGTAAGGCTTTACATTTAGGCAAGAAAAACCAAGTGCACAAGTATAGAGTAGGTGGTATCTGGCTGAATAGTAGTAACTACAAGATGGAGTTTGGAGTCCTAGTGGACAATTATTTAAATATGAACCAGCAGTGTCCTGCAGCTGCCAAAAACATGAATGCAGTCCTAGGCTGCATTAATAGAGGGCTAGAATCAAGGACATGTTAAGTTTTATAATATCACTTTATAATGCTTTGATAAGACCACACTTGGAATATTGCATCCAGTTTTGGTTGTCATGATATAAAAAAGATGTTGAGACTCTAGAAAGAGTGCAGAGAAGAGCACTTTGGATCAGATATGTAAATGACACCTTCACTATAATAAAAAAGAACCAATTAAGAGAATACCCTCAGAATCATCAATAACATTTTTAAAGGAATTCCATTTACCAGAGGAAGAAGAAAACAACAACTTCCCTTCTTGGACATTCTGATCAGCAGAGATCACAATGGCAAAGTAGAAACATGACTCTACAGAAGCAAAGCAAAAACCCACTACCAAAGCAAAAACTCAACCTCCCACAAGAGAAGCTACGTAAGGACTTTATTTAGACAAGCCCAAACATACTGCAGCAACCTGGAACAGCAGAAAAAGGAAACAGAGCATCTGTACAACATACTGTATTCCAACAAAATAAAATGAATATCCACACAACTTCACAATCAAAAAGTCTCTGACCACTCAACTCAATACAGCACAACCAATACAAACCCTAAAAAGAATTACACTGCCATACATCAAGACTATCTCAGAAACCACCAACAGACTACTAGAACCAAATGGAATCAGCACAACACACAAATCAATAAAGCCTTTTCAAACATCCTGACCAGACCAAAAGACCCAACAACCACAGAAGAAAAAACAGGAGTCATCTACAACATACAATGTAAGGATTGCAACAATCACTATGTAGGATAAACAGGCAGAAGACTGGTAGTAAGCATCCATGAACACCAACTAACAACCAGAAGACATGATGAAAATTCTTTAATTTCACAATATATAGACAGATTTCACCATAGTTTCAATTTGGAAAATGTGACCATCCTAGACCAAACTAAGTCCCAAAATGCCAGGGAATTTCTAGAAGCCTGCCACTCTGACAAATCAGCCATCAATAGACACATAGACATTAACAACATCTATAGATGATGACCCAGCCCCAAAAGGAACAAAAAGACCCAAGCCCCTCTCCACCAGCAATCACCACCCAGATCAGCACAGATTAACTCCAAGGTTAACGTCAGACCAACAATCAAGTAAATAATACCCCAATCAAGAAACTGCTAATGAAGTCAACAGCAAACCGCCCAACCAAAGAATGTCTAAGACCACCTACACTAACTCTGGCAGGATAAACCTCTAGGGCAGGGCAGTGGCAGCAGCAGGAGGCTCCGCCCATCTACCCGGATGCTTCTGTGCATGCGCAGAAGCATTGCGTGCGGCGGGCAAGTGAGCGCCCATGAACAAACCGGTAGTGAAAGGTTTTGAAACCCACCCCTGGAGCAAGAGTGTTAAACTCAAGGCCCGGGGGCCAGATCCAGCCCACGGGGTGCTTATATCTGGCCCACGGAGCTACCTGTAAACAGCGAAGGACTGGCCTGCGGTGCCTCTGCCAGTGAAAATGGAGCTCGGGAGGGCTGTATGCGGCCCTCCCGAGCTCCGTTTTCACTGGCAGAGGGTTGCAGGAGGCAATTGCAGCCGAAAACTGAGTTTGAGAGCCCGTTTTCTCTGGTAGAGGCTTCAGGCCTCCACAGGCACCCCAGACACGAGTGACATTGATCTGGCCACGCCCAGCTGGCCACACCCAAGGTCAAACACAACCTTGATGTGACCCTCAATGAAATTGAGTTTTACACCCCTGCACTAGAGTATAAACTGAGAGCAAACAGCACTTCTGACAAGCAGTGATGATGTTATTTATTTTCAGTAATGAAACATCTGCAAGAAAACAAGCAAGACCAAGGACCCCTCATAGATTAAGATGAAAGGGTGGGGAAATAATATAGTGTCTTCTTTTTAGACGGTAGCACCTACCTGACCTTGATTGATCTTGAAAACTCCTCAGCAGGGTCAGACTAATTAATACATCAAAGGGAGACCACAAGAAACAAGCCAGGGCAGTCACCTTGTTTGAAAATCAGAAGCCTATCCCAGAAGAAAGAAATATCCAACCACTTCCATGTTATAATAAGTTGCTTTTTCACCCTTCAGCATTTTTCTTTTAGCATTAGAAATCTCTTCTGCAGAATAAATTCTTGGTTTACTGAACTTTCTCAAGCACTCCAAAAACAATAATGGCAGAGATGGGAGTGACCTGAAATGCTGAAGCCTAAAGCTGCTTTGTGTGTGGGGGGGGGGGGAGTGGGACAGGATACCCACAATATAGCTTCATAATAAGAATAGATTCTACTCCCCCACATTTCAATCCAAAGCTGTCAGTCAGAAAGCTAAGTGGGTATAAGCTACAATCATTCCAGAAAAGACTGTTGAAAAGTGGCAAAAATACAGTAAGGCATGTTATGCAAGAGGGGATGTGGAAGTCAAATGTATAAGGGAGAGAGGGAGGGAGGAAGTGTTGGGCAGGGAGGGCTGAAATATATACGTGGATATGGAGTGAAAAGAAGAACATGTGTCTGGAGAGCTGTGGGTAGAGGGCATTAGGAATGGCCTTGAAGGATGGGAAGAATACAAAGAATACCAAGGCAGCGGTCAAATAAGAGGAGCCTGAGCTGACTCAAGAAAGTAACATGAGAATACATCTCATATTGGCCTCTCCCTCATTCACACAGAGATAAAGGGAGAGGAAAACGCTCAAGATTGGCAAGATTACTAAACTCCTACTATAATTATTACAATAAAAGTAGTCCTGACCCAGATGGAATTGATTTCTTAATCTGGTCTACTTTATAGGACTGACAGAATGCCACCAATATACAGTAAACACAGCTAGGGCTCAAAGACAAAGCACAATACTCAATATACTTCCCTTCAACCTCATCAAATTGAGCTCCCAATGATCACATGGAAAGTGCGCCAGTGTTCCTAGCTAAATTCTGGCCAAACATCCTCTGGAAAGAAGGAGAGCATATTATTTGCTGGAAATCCATAACTCCCCAGTGCAAAAGCAGAACATGAGTCTAAAGGCTGTTTTTTAGTGTCAACAAGAGGACATGTGCACCTTGTAGTGATTCCTCTCCTCCAGCAAAAGGCATGGGATAGTTTCTGCCTTAACCACTCTCTACTTTCAAGCTTCTGCCTAAATAGGGAACGTAAGCAAAATCCTCCTAATCTTCCTAAACTGAGCAGCAAAGTCTGATTGGATTTCTATTGTGTTTGTTTACATTTATGTAGAATGCTATGCTGTACTTTAAACAGACCCTCAAAGTAAGTGGGGGCCCTGGAGATCTATCCAGAGTACATAATATAGTTTTTTTTTTTAAAAAAAATGTACATTTAAATATTTTGTTTTAGGTAAATATCAGAACATATTAATCTTCAAAATGAGAAGCACTCCGTGCTTCAGTTTGCAGGGATTGATGCTTGATTCAAGCTAGGTTTGCCTTTAGTATTTTCAGTCTAAGGGAGGGTATTCCACTATCATTATCCCTTCTTTTCCAACTGATGTCAGCATTGCTAAAGGTATTTGTTTTTTAGTGGACAGTTTTGTTTAGTTTCATTTTAAAGGGAGAATCTTCTTTGTATATGTGTGTTTTCCCCTTAAAATACTAGAATCCTTCATATATATCTGAACTTCTTGTTTCTCATTGACCCTGTTTCAATTTTATTACAGTGGGGAGTCATCACCAAAACAATGACTGTAACAAATGTGACTTCTCCTCAGATCCAAAACAATGATTGCAGAAGTGTCCTGTGAATAGATCTGTCTGCAAGGATTTCCTTTAATGATTGTTTTTAAGATATTTGGATTTCAGTACAATATTCCTGTTGGGGATAATGCGGGAGCAAAAATTGAAAACATTTATTTATGTTTTATGTTGCGAGCCAAAATTTATCTTGGCTCGCAGCAGTTCCAGGAAACACTCTCTGTAAGTAACATGATCACATAATAAAGAGCCAGGAATCTTCATAACTTTATGTTAAACCAAAAACATGTTACACATGCATCTTCTAATTCATCCCTACCCACTTCTACTCTACCACTGCCCAACTCACAAAAACCACGTTTTTAGATTACTGTGCTTCATTCAGTGACTTTAAATTTTAAATGACCAAGTCTAATCCATCTATAGCCGCATTGGCGAACCTATGGCACACGTGCTACAGGTGGCACGCAGCGCCCTCTCTGTGGGCACACGAACCGTCGCCCCAGTTCAGCTCAACCGCACATTTTTTTATTTTTTTATTTTATTCAATTTATATGCCGCCCCTCTCCAAAGACCCAGGGCGGCTCACAATACACTCATGCACGCGCCTCCCGCCAGCCAAGTCATTGGGTCTACCGTGCATCCGCAGGGAGCAGGGGCGTTCAGGGGGCTGCATGTGCATGCATGGGGGCGCATGCGGTAGGGCCGCATGTGCATTGCATTTTGGGGATTGGGGGCACGCACACACATTTGCGCTCTCATGCACACACACTTTGGGCACTCTGTCTGGAAAAGATTAGCCATTACTGATCTATAGTCTTTTGAGTAGGGTGAATAATAAAATAAAGAAAATGCATGGCATTCCTTTCTTTTTTTCAGAATTCAGGCACCCAGAGATGGAAATGTAAGATACTTCCAAGCCAATGGACACCTGCCAGTTCTCTGCCTTGCTTTGAACCAATAACCTGAGCTAGAAATTTTTGGAATGAGTGCCTTTTCTTGGACAGTCCAAAGATTCAGGATTTTCTTAGTACCATGTAGCACAGTCATATGCAAGAAACTACTGAAAAAAGTATGTCCCATTATAAGAGTAGCTTTGCTCTTCACTACTGAGAATTCATTGCTCTGGCAAGGTTGCAGTTCTTATTGACAAGCTGAGAATCAATCAACCGGAAAGCCAATATAGTCCACATGCAGGAAAGGTACTGATAGCAGAATCACTATGTTCAATCTATGCTATATAAGCCTTTTTGAACTGGTTGACCTGCAGGTATGTTGGATTATAATCTTCATTTTTTGCAGATTTAGCTTTTTACAGAGACACTGGGATTGTTTGGGTATTTAATAGGGCAGAAGGGTAGCTAAACCCACTCTGGAAATTCTGGGGTACATGCTGAAGCAGAATCAGAACAGAGCTGGAAGGGATCTTGGAGGTCTTCTAGTCCAATCCCCTGCTCAAACAGAAGGTCCTATACCATGCTAATGCTTATATGATAATAATTGCTTCATAAAAATACAACCAAACCTAATTCCACCTCAGAAGAAGGCTTTTAACACAGAAAAGGAGGAGGAGGTGGAGGTTATTATCTTTTTCTGAGTTATTGTATTTTAGTTTGTTCCCCTCTCCCCTTCTCCATGCAAGCAAATGCTCTGAATTTTGCTGTAAAATGGAGGAGCATTGTGGAGAACAATCTAAAGTGGAAAAGTAATGGGAGAAGAAGGATTAAGCCCTCTTCCTTCACCACTTCTCCAGAATGAATTTTTAAAGAGGTCATTCAGGCTAAAATTACAAGTATTCTCCCATAGCATGTAATTTAATTTGAGAAACAAATAAACATGGAAAGGATGGTCTTTTGTGCCAGTAAAATGACACAGGGCAAATAACCTTCTTTGTCATTAAATGAATCCTTTACTAGCAATCCTCTTAAGAAATAGTGTATCAAAGTTATAGCTAATTTGATGTCATTAGATAAAATCTTATATCAGAGAATTCAGGAAGAACATTACAAAGTTTCAAAACTTTGTTCTCTGGCTGAATTGTTCTTTGGGGGGAGTAATTCATTATTTGGACATATTTGGGGTCTTTATAAGTGACAACAAAAGATTCAGGTATAAAATTGAGGTCTTCTTTACCATTTATCTGTTCAGCATTGAGCAAAGGACCAGAAGTCTGGCATCTTTTTTTATCTGTTCGTTGTTAGTGACATTTTTCCTGTTCATTATTAGTGACATAAAAAATACTTCAGGAAATAGAAGATGGCATGGGATTCAAAACCATGAAAGTTTATGCCACAACAAATAACCTCACAACCTTGTTATAACAACAGATACTTAATACAGTTTAAAGTTGTTGAATTCTTACTTTGGAAAGCACTGGATTTTTATAAGCACTAGTTTTTTAAATCTAAATTTAAATCTAGTTCATAAAAAAGGATTTTTAGCTAAAAAATTAGCAATGTTATAAGTGATACAATTCACAAAAGCTGAATCCTTGGGGAATCAATACTGTTTAAAGAGTGATAGAATCCCATTCTTTTTCACTAGTGTTCAAACTATTGTCCTTTCATGAGAACAAATTTTCTGACTCCCTCTCCCATCCCAGATTTGGTATGCTCTGCATAATTTCTAACGTATCCTGAATTTCAGAAATAAATATTTTCCAACATGTACATATTCTGGTTTATACAGAATCAGTTAAACGTATGCCCAAATTCAAACTGCACTATGGTTATTCAACTCAGAATCTCTTGGAACAGTTGGTGGAGCTGAAAATAGATTCAAAGCTTTACTTGCAGTTCCAAGTACAGTGAACAGAAGGGAAAAATTCCTAAATATCTAGCTATTTATCAAGTGTGTTTAATCTAGAAGCTTCATGCTACCTGCCAATCACAGGGTCTGTTGTCAAGGCATGTCATAAGCATCCCTAGATTATGCAAACTGCTGATTTCATTTCTTAATGCAAGTACTGTACACACATTGACATTTCTATGCTTCCTGATATTCTGGTTCCATCTTTCATTAACATTTGCTTCAGTCTTTGCTTCAGTGTGTCCAAGGGAAGAACCTCTCATCCTGCCGTATGCTTCTACTCAACCCATCTGCTGGCTTACTTGAGGTATTATATCGCACTCCAGAGAAATACTCAGGGCAGGGACGCGCTATCAGTTGTCCCACAGGGCTGCGTGGCCAACATGTCCCAATTAGATCCACTAAGGCATTGCACTGAGGACCTGCAGGGAAGGAAGAAGAGGATAATTTAAAAAAAAGAAAGAAAAATATTGACATCACATATTATATACTTGTTTAGAAGTTTGGGACAATTTAGTATAATCCTGCAGAAATAGAGCAAGGGAGGCATGATACAAATTGCTTGGCATACATGATCAAAAGCAGATGCTGTTGGTTTCAGAAAACCATATTCCATTTGTTTTTCAGAAGCATGTATATAAAGACAAGTTCAACAAGACTCTGGTTGAAACCAAATGAGATTATCGTATGATTTATGTTCCTTTGTACACCAAAATGCTTCCTGTGGACAAATATTTCTGGTTTATTGAGTTTCCTTCTTGAAATAAGATTGACTGCCATACTTGGAGGAAAAGGTCTTTTAGAATAAGCTCCTGGTTAAATTGACTGGCAGTATCACTGTTGTTTTTCTCAATATATGTGATCTGGTTCTCCTGCTAGAGACATTGGAAGTTATTTGCCTGGAAGGCATCTGTTCTATAGAGCATTCACAAAATATTCTGACTGATTGCTGCAAACAGAAAAGAAGAATGTTAGCTAAAATCTATGCCAATGTTTATCAGCCTTGACTATTTTAAGAGGTATGTTCACTCCCAAAAATGCCCACACCTCTTAAAATGACCAAGATTGAGAAACACCGATCTAGATCATTTTTGTTCAGTTGCAGCTTTTGGTTTATTTTCTTGGTTTTTCTATATAATTTCTGCACCTCACACATTTCGTCCTAATTTAATTTAATATCAGAAGCCATGTATTTTGCCAGGCCCAAAAGGCTAAGAAAGAAAGAACGTTAATTAACTTATGGGCTCTGATATTAAATGAGTCATTTCAGAAGATTTTTGGAATTAGCTCCTGCAAAAGATTTGAAACCAGGATGAAATCAACAGAATTTTTCTCCAGCATGGCCTAGAATTGTAATGAACATATACACACTTGCATGCACATGCACATAAATATGCATAATCAGAAAAAAATGTATCTTTTAACTTTACCACTCATAGAACCATTCATTCATCCATAATGGAAAGCAGAATATTACTACTACTACTACTTCTACTTCTACTACTACTACCTACTACTACTATTACTACTACTACTACTATCATGCCACCTCTGCAAAGAAACTAAAGAAACAGTAGCTGCAAGAAGAATGGAGCTCTGGTGGCGCAGCAGACTAAAGCACTGTTATTAGCTGTTATTAACATCAAGCTGCCTGCAATTACTGCAAGTTCAAATCTCACCAGGCTCAAGGTTGACTCAGCCTTCCATCCTTTCTAAGATAGGTAAAATGAGGACCCAGATTGTGGGGGCAATAAGCTGACTTTGTATAAAATATACAAAAGTATGAGGGCTATTGCTTAACGCATTGTAAGCTGCCCTGAGTCTCCGGAGAAGGGCGGCATATAAATCAAAAAATTTTTTTAAAAAATGCACAGACTGACTACAAACAATAGCATGACAAAGTAGCAACAATGGTGCATTTGAAGTTGTGCAAGAAATGCTACCTTCAAGTAAGAACCAGTTTTTAAGTGACTAGTTGTAAATTGAGAATTATTTGTATATTAAACACAAATTCCAATAGAAGAGAAAATATGTAGCACTGAGTTCAACTATGAAGTTCTTGATGCTCTCTGAGTTTGGCTGTATGATTGCAGATATTCATTACCTGATTAGTCCTAGTCAGTGGTGAAATGTAAAATTTGTTACTACCGGTTCTGTGGGCATGGCTTGGTGGGGGGATAATATGACTAGGTGGGCATGGCCAACTTTTTTTTTTTTTTTTACATGTAAAACCATTTTTTCTGCAACCTCTTCGGTCGAAGGCCACTCAGCTGGGATCATCAGAGGCTTTTAAAGGCATTTTTTCTACAACCTCTTCGACCAAATCGATAATCCCAGCTGAGCTGCGCGATCATCAGAGGCTTTTTAAAAAACTTTTAAAAGCATTTTTTTGGCCGAAGAGGTTGTAGAAAAAATACGTTTAAAAATAAAATAAAAAAAGCCTCTGATGATTGTACAGCTCAGCTGGGCATGGGGGGGTGGGGTTGGCAAGGATTTTTGCTACCGCTTCTCCGAACCACCCGCCGCCATCACTACCGGATCGGGTGATCCGGTCCGAACCAGGAGCATTTCACCCCTGGTCCTAGTGAATATGGGCTTATTCCCCAGTGAATGTGTGGTTTGCTCCCTCCCTGACAGAGGAAGCTACTGTATATAAACAGGGAGCAAACCTCCTAATCATTAGCAATAATGATGTTATCTAATGAATTGTCTAGAAACACATAACCTGGGTCAGAGAGCACGAAAACGCTACAGTAAACAGAAATTGTCATGAATTCAGTAGACATAGATTCTATTTAAATTTACCTGAGCTCTAAATTGGACTAAGACACATCTATTTCAGGAAAGCCTGAACTAAAATCCTCTGCAATGCATATCAAGCATATTAAACCAAGGTCAATCCAAGTCATTTTGTGGATCTTAAGAACCATTTGGTTGTGATATCTGTCAAACTCTTGACAGCCAATGTTGAGAGTGCAGGCTGACTAGATAGATGTTTCATTCCATCCTTTCCTGTGCATGTTTATCTTTCAATATTTGGTAGTAGAGGGCACCGATCCCGAAAAGAAGAAATTCTGATGAAGCAAGTTATTTCATTACTGCAAAATCCCTATCAGCTGAATTGATTAAAGAGTGTATTGGTATGTGCTGTATTCCAAATACTCAAAGATTCTTTTGGCTCAATCCTTGATATTCAGATACTACTTGTCTCTGAAAAAGTCATGGATCAGTATCTTTTGAGACCTACCATGTAGACCATGCATTTAGAGTCAACTGGCATGATGATGTACAAGTTTCTCAGAAGGAATACCAAATGAAAATAATATGCAGGTGGAGCATATATATAAAAAGAGGGGATTTTTTACATTGTTTAAATTGTGCCTTTATTATTTTTTAACAAATAACTCAAGGCAGTGAATATATCTAATACTCTTTCCTCCTATTTTCCCCATAACTCTGTGATGTGAGTTGGGCTGAGTGAGTTGAGAAAGTGACTGGCCCAAAATCACCCATCCAGCTTTCATGCTTAAAATGGGACTAGCATTCACAACTGTCTTAACAACTTGACCTAACAAGCTCTAATTTGTATTTGTATAGTTATATTTTACAAATGCACACATCTGGTAAATATTTAAAGCTGCCTCATATTGAGATTATAAATCTGAGTAATTATTTAGTTTATGTGAGATCTCTCCCAGTTCTCCTACTTTAGATTAATTTTTTAAATCAAAGATGCTAGCTAGAGACTAAGTGTACTTCAGTGGAAAGTCACATCCTCATCCTTACAGGCAAAAGTAATCATGGCCCTCATTCCCTCATCCCAAAACATTGTCCATTAGCCAAATTATTACTATTCAGATCTTGATGCTCAGCTTCTAAATGAAAAATTACCTTTGACTCTCTCCATGGAAGGTAGATGAGAAGCATATTTGATTTATTTGAAATAGCTTATTGCCCATAATCCCTCATAAAGCCATCACTCTACACATTAAATGAACAAATAAATCTATTTTTTGCATAATGCAATAGTGCATGGCCAAATATGTACATACAGAGAGATACACAAATTCAAAATTCAATCCATATTTTTATACCTATTTCTATTTCTGATTCTATGCATATTTAACTAATTCAGTTGGGATGCTCCTTGATTTTGAGAAATAAATTATTTTTGAGATACATTATTTATAAGGGGGAAAAGAATACAATTATTATGTGATAACATATTTCCTTTTCATTATCATTCTACTGTATTTTCTTCCTTTTCAGAGAGATGGAAATTCCTGTTTCTGCTGTCCCTGATTTGCTTAGAGATAATCCCAGGTTCAGTTCTTTGCATTTCCAGTTAAAAGAAGCTGCTAATAATTGAAAAACCTTCAAAGGTTATGGTAGAATAAGTGGACAAAGTGCCTGATTATAAATAAAGCAGCCCCTTTATGAACACCAGCCTGCCAATTTTGCAGTCCCTTTATTTTATTTATTTACAATAAAACTAAAATGTTAAATGGAAAGAAAGGAAAGATGGCAGGGAGTAAAGGGCAGCAAAAAACAATGGACAATTAAAAGATAATATTATTATCTGATAAAATTTTCTGAATGAAGAAGCATCATTATATATTAGGCATAATCTGCAAACACTACATGTGCAGTTGTGGTTTAAATTGTAATGTGTCCTATCAGCTCACATAAATCATACAAGGCTCATATGGATGACAGAAAAATAGCTCAGATTGTCTCATCCTGTGGATAAATGACAGAGACAGAGTGCAGGTTGTGACATCTATGTGGCTGGCTTGTCATATTTTTTTAAAAGTGAAATTGCATATCAATATATATATGCACGGCTTTTGAATAATGCTTCTGTTCTATACAAAGTTTGCTGATTTCATAAGAGGAAAAAAACCCCTTTCTCCTAGAATCTCCTAGTTCTATGCTTCTCTGTTGATTTAAGAATGCAAAAAGAGCAATTTGCAGGCTCAGAATGGATAAAATCCGTTCTTTCTATCCACCCCCCTCAGTGGTGAGTTGCTCCCGGTTCGCACGGTTCACAAGAAATGGTAGTAAAAATTTGTAGTAGTTCGGAGAACCGGTAATATCATTGGCTGGCCATGCCCTCAAACTGATCCCCGGCCCGGTCGCCGCTCGCTTACCCCGCTCATCTGATCAGAGGCTTTTTTTTTTTTTACTTTTAAAAGCATTTTTTCTACCATTTCTTCGGCTGAAAAAATGCTTTTAAAAGTAAAAAAAAAGCCTCTGAGGATCGCACGGCTCAGCTGGGATTGTTAGAGGCTTTTAAAAGCATTTTTTTCTACAACCTGTTCGGCTGAAGAGGTTGTAGGGAAAAAATGCGTTTAAAAGCCTCTGGTGATCCCAGCTGAGTTGCCTGATTGGCAGAGGCTTTTAAAAGCATTTTTTTCTGCAA